AGTGGGGAGGGGGTAGGGGGAGGGGTAGACCCCTCCCCGAAGGGGAAGAAGGAGGGGTGGAAGAGGAAACTCGTTAAACCACCGACGCCCTAAAGGGCTGGTGGGATTTCATTTCAGCCGCTGGTGTCCCAAGGAAGCGTGGAGCTTCAACCGCACGCCTGGCGCGCGGCGCGAAACATGATCCTCTTAAGCGGTGGTATCGCAGACGGCTTTCACACCCAGAGCCTCTCACATCAAGAGAGTACGGGGAATCAGTGCCAAATTAGAGGCAATGACAGCCTTTGATTTAGCTGCGAGCGGCATGTCACGCCACCAACAAGGTTGAGGCGCTTGATGCCGTGGTCCCATTTCTCGCTCATGAAGTGTACAGTCGCAAGAAAACACATCAAACATGCAAGCGCGTTATCGCATGATGCAGCAGCTTTCCCTGCTCTGCATCTCCATTAGCATGACCCCTCAACTGTCAAGCATGTGCGAGGAGCCACGCGAGAGCCACGCGTGGCCAAGACGGGGGCCGCCAGCCAGGTGCCACGTCTTGAGGCCGTGACGCATGCTCGAGTGTCTTCAAAGGGGATCCAGGTTTTGGGCACATCTCGGAGGTGTATGGTATCCTGGGGGCGCAGCTGGTCGCCACCGCTGTCATCGGCCGGATCATCATGAGCGTTGGCGACTCTTTGCAAGAGAGCACGGTCCTTTTCCTGCTGTTCATGTCGCTGGCGATCTCGGTGGCGATGATGTGCGTGTTCATGTGTAGACCAGATATGATGCGCAAGTCTCCGTCGAATTACATCTGTCTCGGGCTGTACACGCTCGCGATGGGCATCATGGTCGGTTTCATCAGCGCCCAGTACACCCAGGAGTCTGTACTCATCGCCCTCGGCATCACGTGTCTCGTCGTGGTTGGCCTGACTGCGTTTGCCTGCCAAACAACGTACGACTTCACAGGCTGCGGGCCCTACCTGTTCTGTGCCTGCCTCGTTCTGATGGGCTTCAGCTTCACACTGTGGATCGCCTCCATGGCTGGTCTCCACGGCCCAGCCTTCCAGACTGCGCGCCTCGTCTATTCCGCCATGGGTGCCATGCTCTTCTCGGTGCACCCCCCCTCCTAAGATGCAACTCCTGGGAGGTTCAATTCTGAATCGTCGCTGGTGTATCCGCGGTCGAACACCTTCCTAATCTGGCTCACATCCTTTGTAATCCCGCTGAATCCTGGTTAATCTGGTTCAGTACCGTTCAGTCCAGCTTGATCACTGGACTGATCCGGCTGAATATTGCATAATGGCCTTGTATCCGGCTTGATAGCCCGTGACTCTTTCCGACGAAGATCTCCCAGGAGTTTCTCCTAACCCTTCTCCATCCTCACTCATTGCTTCCTGCCTCCTCCCTCCCCCATCCCTCCTCCCTCCTCCCGCCTCTTTGCCTCCGTGCACTCTCCTCCCTGCTCTGCCCTCCTCTGCCCTCCTCTCCCCGCCTTCCCCTTCCCGTTCCGCATCGCCAGTTTAGCTCACGTTCGGGCTCGAGGGGGGCTCCCTCCGCAAGGGCGTGCGGCAGGTTGGCGTCGTGTCGACGCGGCGGCGACCCCGGCGCGGGCGCTCGAGGTGGAGCGCCGCCGTCGGCGCGGAACTGGCCAAGATCGAGGGATCTGCGCCATCAGGGAAGCCGCGGTCGTTCGCGGCGGAACGACCCGCGCGGTTCCCGAGACCAGCGCGCGAGTCGTGGCGGCACGAGCCTGCGGCAGCTACATCTTCGGCCACGCGCAGCGGAGGGTATGGGGGAGAGGGGAAGGCCTCTCAGAAGGAGGGCTCCCGCGAGGGCGCGAAGTTATTCGCGCTTCGCGCTTCGCGGTCCTCGTTCCTCCTCCCCCTCCTCCTCGTCCTCCTTTTCTCCCTTTGGGGGGGCGGCGCGAGGGCGCGAAGTTATTCGCGCTTCGCGCTTCGCGGAGCGCGAAGCGCGAAGTTGGGAGCCCTAGCAGAAGGCGCGGGCATCCTCTGTAGGCGCAAGGCCAGCGCCTTCCAAGCGGCGGCCTCCTTCTAAGACACCTTCCCCCCTCCCCTTGTGCCCCCTGTGCGCGCCGCCAACGATCGGGGGTGGACGGAACCCCCAACAGTGACACGTCGATTAGTGAATTGTCCGTTTTCGGTTCTCGAGAGGGCGCCGTGGCCGTCATTTTCCAGGCTTGCGCCCGGCAGGTTTGGGCTTCAGGCCGTTTTCACTAAACCACGTTTTACGAAAGGGGGGTCTGCCCATCCCTGAAACGAGGGCCTCGCCACTTCTCCAGCCTTGAGCCTTGGGCCTTCAGACCGGCTTGCTCGCGGCGCCCAGAGAGGCCTGACCTGCCTCTGTCTGCTGCGCGGCCTCCCGGGGCCGGGCGCCAGGCCCGTGACACCTTCGTCTCGTCGCGCGCCCGTCGTTGAAAGCAGGCGCTTTGGAGATCCAGATCCCAGTATGCTTGAGAGCGCCTTCCTGCTTCAAGAGACGATCTGGTCTTGCTGCCTTCCGTGGAAACTTGAGGCGGGCCTGAAGCCAACCTGCCTTATCCGCCTCTACACCTCCTGCCTCCACGCACCTCCTCCGACTGGTGGGCAAACCTATCCTCATCCACGCCAGGCCATGGCATCTGAGCCCCACCAGCCCACTCCCAGTTGGGGAGAGGGGCCCCCCCGATTCCCGGAGGGAACGGCCTATCTCCGCATCTAGGGGAGGTACATTGGCCAGCGGGGCCCAGGCCATGCTGGTGGGGATGGGGATCGGTTCAACGATGCTCATTGCTCGCTGGGCCTCGTGACATGGTCGTGGACAGCCCCAGCCATAGATCGTACATCGCGGAAGCTTCCGCTCGTGTTTGAGTGATTGAATGTGTATCGGCGAACAGCGCTCAACAGCTCTAAATGGCGCCCAATAGCGCCCAATGGCGCCCAGTAGCGCCGGATAGCGCTCACATAGCGCCCACCATCGACCAGCGGCGGCAAGCAGGGCCATGTGAGGGAGATGCACTCTGGGCATTTGCGGTGCGACGACGCGCAGAACGCAAGGCGATCTAGACCTCGGGAAAATTGGGGGTGCCCCGCTGGAGCGGGTTGCACAAGTGCACCCACACGTTCTTCGAGTGTGTGGTGCCGATGGGATGCGTGCACTGGCCGATCGAGCAGTTTCACGCGCTCGCCTCAGCGTATACAGCGCCGACGCGCAGTCGGGCGTATGGTATGTCTTTCTTCCTTCGCTTCGGGAGGGAACAAACTTACCAATGACACGCTGCCGCTGGGAGTCCGTTCGCGCGTTGCTCCCCCGTTCTTGTCTGAAGGTCTGGTGCCCTCTCTAACAATAACACGCTGATGGGTTCCCCACGGCGGCACGTCGTTGTTTTTTTAAGCCTTCCATGGACCGACCCCCGGTGGGCGACGCCAAAAAACGGGGTCGCCTGCGCCGACATCGGCGCGTCAGCTGCCCGCGTGGGCTCGCGCGTAATAACCGCCCTCGTCTCCACTGCAGCGCGCCGCGCTGGCGGCCCGTCTGAGCTGCGGCGTGAGGCCGCCGTGCCATCTCGCGCGAGACCCGTTCTTGAGCGTCGCTCGGGTGCCCTTCTGCTGGCTGGGCAGAGCGAGCGCCGGCTGCCGCGACCACCCCCGAGCGTGCGACGCAGGAGGAGGAGGAGGAGGAGGAGGAGGAGGAGGAGGGGGAGGAGGAGGTGGATGAGGTGGAGGTGGAGGTGGAGGAGGCGGAGGAGGAGGAGGCGGAGGAGGAGGAGGAGGAGGCGGCTGCGCTGCGCGCGCTCGGCCGCGTGCTCGGCCGCCGACGAGCCCGCCGTGCTGCCCCCGAGGCCAGCGCGGCGGGATCATGGCGAGAGCAGCGAGATCCGCTGCGACCCTCGCTGCGGACCAGGGAAAGCCGTCCGCTCGAGCATCCGCCGGGCACGCCTGGGCGTCTCGCTCCGAGCTCTCTGTCGGGCGTGTCCCTCTGCAGGAGGGATATATCCAAAGACGGTATGGGGACGATTCTTGGTCTCTTTTTGATGCTACGCTTGATTGCTTGTGGGGCGATTGTGTCATCCTTCCCCCGCCAGCCGCCTGTAGGAGGACATGCCCGACCCAATCCGAGCTTCGCACCGCTCCCGCCTCGGCCCCGGGGGGGGGCTCCACCAGTGCCCTCCCTGGCGCCCCCGAGGGAGCGGGGGGCCCCCGCGGGGCGGGTCGCGTGCGCGCCTCCCCCCTGCCAGGCCAGGGGGGGTGCTCCCGGGCCGTGTGGTCACGTCGGGCATGCCCCTCTACTTAGGTGGCAAATGATGGGAGCTTTCTTTTTCACCCAATGGTGTCTTGCTTCCTGCTTCGTGATCATTTAGTGTGTATTAGTGTTGTTTAGTGTTGCGTAGCGTTGCTCGTGCACGCCGGTCGGTGCGCGCGCGCGGCATCGCAGTTTTGCGAGCAATCCCAGATTCCTAAGATCGGCCGCAACCTTTTTCAAATTTCCTTTCTTCCTGTCCCTCCCGCAGGCGAACTAAATTGCACTAAATTGTACTAAACGCAACTAAACTGCACTAAGTTGCAATAGTGTGGGGCGCACTAAACGCCACTGACTTGCACTAAATTGCACTATATTGCACTAGGTTGCACTAAATTGCACTAGCGCAACGAAATTGCACTAGACGCCACTGAATTACATTAAATTGCACTAGCGTCACACTAAACGCCACTAAATTGCGCTAAATTGCGCTAGTGTGGGGCGCACCAAACGCCACTAACTTGCACTAAATTTCACTAAACTGCACTAAATTGCACTAGACGCCACTAAATTGCACTATGCGCCACTAAATTGCACTAGCTTACGCTGAATTACACTAGCGCCTCCCGCCGCGCCACACTAAACGCCACTAAATTGCGCTAGATTGCACTAGGGTGGGGCGCAGGCGACGCTAAGCTCGACAAACGAAGCTCCCATCATATGCCACCTAACTCTACTACAGTTATGATGTTCCAGCCTTCTTTCGCCTCGATCACCAGAAAGAACCTCGAGCACCAACAAAGGACCGAAACTCGAGGGTTTTCACGTGTCGGGCCCTGGGACACTCGTCCGACACTGTTTCGACACTTTTTCGACACTCTTTCGACACTTTTCCGGGTGCTCGGAATTATTTCTGGGATGTGTATAACTCTACAGGCGGAATGTCAAAATATTTGAAAAATAGCGGGGGCATGTTTGGGGTATTTTTAATTTTCGTACGGAATCCGCTTGTAGGAGGACATGCCCGACCTAAGGTTCAGTCGGGCATGCCCCTCTACAGGGGGAATATCCAATAATGGTAAGAACATAGCCAGGTGACGATTTTCCCTCTTTCATGGACGAGTTCATGATTACGTTACGCTTTTCTTCCACCATCCGGAGGACATGCCCGACCTCCTATTCTGGACGATTTTTTTGATTCTGCTTCACTTGTTCTTCCAACATCCGGAGGACATGTCCGACCTCACCGTATGGCAGCCTGCGGTTTGGTGCCCCCCACCGTTGTGCGCACCGTGCGAAAGAGGCAGGCGCCGCCGCGCCATCGCGCCCGCTCGTCCGGAGCAGTCCTCCAGGGGGGGAGCCCAGGGGGGGAGCCCAGGGGGGGAGCCCAGGGGGGGAGCCCAGGGGGGGAGCCCAGGGGGGGAGCCCAGGGGGGGAAGTGAGACGGGGCCTCGGCCTCCAGGGAGGAGTCCTCCCGGCCTTCCCCCGAGGGCACCGAGCGCACGCTCGCCGGAGGGCCGAGGAGGGGCGCCTCCGAGCAGCCCCGCCGCCCTCCGAGAGGACCTCCTCCCGCTCGCGTCGCTCCTCCCCCCCTCGCTCGCCGCCGAGCCCCTGCGCGCCAGGGCACATCGGCCCCTCTCCGGGCCCGCGCTCGGAGCCCGCCGCCACTCCTGGGCCCGCCACTCGGAGCCCGCGCTCGGAGCCCGCGCTCGGGCCCGCCGCTCGGAGCCCGCCGCCACTCCCTCGGGCTCTGTCGGCCCCGTCGGCCCCGCCTCGCCGCCGGGCCTCGCGGGCCCCGCCGCGGCGCCGCAGAGGCCGGCGAGGCGGCCGCGCGCGCGCGTTTTTTTTTGTTCTCTTTTTTTTTCCGGAGGCTCGAGGCCCCCGCGGCCGAGAGCGGGGCGCCCAGGGCACTGGCCGGGAGTGCGGCGCGGGCCGCCGGCGTGCGCAGAGGGGCCCTTTTCCCTGCCCCCCCCCCCCTCCTGGCTGCCTCGCATGCCTCTTCTTCCCGCCCCGCTCCGCCCTCCGCCCTCTGCCCTCCGCCCTCGCTCCTGGGTCCCTGCCCTCTCTCCCACTCCTCCCGCTCCTGCCTCCCCACCGACTTGCCCTGCTTGCCGCTCCCTCGCCTCTTGCTCCCTCACCCCTCCTCCCTCCCTTGTCCGTCCTCCTCTTCCTACTGTCCCCCTGCTTCTCGGCATACATCGTGTTCGACACCCAGATGATAGTCGGGGGCACGCACAAGTACCAGTTCTCGGTGGATGACTATGCCATGGCGGCCATCATGCTGTACATCGACATAATACAGCTGTTCGTCCACCTTCTGCGCATCTTCGGGAATCGTCGGTGAGCGGCCGTGAGTCCTCTGCGTTGGCCCTGCGCCTGAGTTGGTGTGCAAAGAGCACGGCGCGAAGCAGACGTAATAGTGTTCCTCTCGCACCCGTGCCATTTGAGATGGATACGCAAAACCGCCCGAGTTTGCATGTGGTATCTTCGCTACACCAGCCAATCCAGCCCGCCCTGTTGTGTCCCCTCGCCCTCCCCGCGAACGAGGGAGGAGGGGGAGGGGTTGCCAGGATTGGAAATGGTGGCCGTAGAGGCCGTCTCCCAGCTGGCTGCAGGCGAGGTGGGCCGGGGTAAATGGAGCATCCTGGCATGAAACCTCCGCCCCTCTTCGATGGTGTGTGTGTGTGCGTTTGTTGCCTTTGCTACAGGACAGGGTTTGCTCGTCAAGTCTCCGTGGCTCAATCGCCACCAGCTGCATCTGCAAATGCACCTGTACCATTCACCGCACTAGTGGTGTCTTACCAGGTGGCTTCCACGACAACCGTGTATGTAATTATGTGTGTATGCGTGTATATATGTACTAAGGCACGTATATGTGTATGAATGTATGTATGTCTGCATGCACGCATGTATTTATGCCTGTCTGTCTGTCTGTCTTTCTGTCTGTATGTATGTATGTATGTGGGTATGCTTGTATGTATGTATGTATGTATGTATGTATGTATGTATGTACGTATGTATATATGTATGCATGCATGTATGTTTGTATGTTTGTATGTATGTATGTATGTATGTATGTATGTATGTGTGTGTATGCATGCATGCATGTATGCATGTATGTATGCATGTATGTATGTACGTACGTACGTATGCATGTATGTATGCGTGAATGTATGTGTGTGCATGTATGCATGCACGCATGCATGCATGTATGCACATATGCATATACGGTTACAGCGCCCTCTGAGATCTACCTTTCAAACATGAATGTACCTTTCTTTTTGTATACAAATGAAATAACAATCAACTCATTTAATCTATTTAATTATTTGATTAATTTAATTCAATTAATTCCTTTACTTTATTATTTAATTTATTTAATTCATTTAATTTATTTAATTTATTTAATTTTGATACACCTTCATCTGCCAAGGACGTGACAGAGGGAAGGGGTTCCCAGGGCCATTAAAAATTAAATAAATTAAATAAATTAAATAAATTAAATATTTCCTTGCGTTTTTTTGCATTTACAATAGGAAACCTATTGTGTAATAAAAAACACAGGAAATCATTTAATTCATTTAATTTATTTAATTTATTTAATTTATTTAATTTATTTAATTTTAGTACACCTCCATCTGCCGAGGAGGTGACAGGGGGAAGGGGTTACCAGGGCCATTAAAAATTAAATAAATTAAATAAATTAAATAATTAAATAAAATAAATAATACCTTGCGTTTTTTTTTGCATTTACAATAGGAAACCTATTGTGTAATAAAAAACACAGGAAATCATTTAATTTATTTAATTTATTTAATTTATTTTATTTATTTAATTTATTTAATTTTAATACACCTCCATCTGCCGAGGAGGTGACAGGGGGAAGGGGTTACCAGGGCCATTAAAAATTAAATAAATTAAATAAATTAAACAAATTAAATAAATTAAATAATTCCTTGCGTTTTTTGCATTTACAATAGGAAACCTATTGTGTAATTTAAAACACAAGGAATCATTTAATTGATTTAATTTATTTAATTTATTTAATTTATTTAATTCCAATACACCTCCATCTACCGAGGAGGTGATAGGGGAAAGGGGTTATCAGGGCGATTAAACATTAAATAAATTAAATAAATTAAATAAATTAAATAGATTGAATAAATTAAATAAATAAAATAAATTAAACAAATTAAATAAATTAAATAAATTAATTAAACAAATTAAATAATTCCTTGCGTTTCTGGCAGTCACACTAGGAAACCTATTGTGTACAATAAGAACCTATTTTGGAATAAACACGCAGGACATTAAAAGGAACATGCGATTGGAAGTGTCGGCGATGCAATGTCAAGAGAGATTTGGATGATTTTCCTGTGCACCACGCGCACCAGCTCGTCAGTATCCAAAGAACAACATACTGGAGAGAGCATGATTGAATAGCTATTTGACATGACATGTCCCATGGCTTTCCATTTGTCATCGTGTTCGTTCCAATACTTCCACTGGAACTCTCTACTACTAGTGCTAGTACCAGTACTGGTATTACCACTACTTCTACTACTACTACTACCACTGCTACTACCACTACTGCTGCTACTAGTATTAGTACGAGTACTAGTACTAGTACTCGTACTCGTACGCGTACTAGTACTACTACTACGACTAGTATTAGTACTATTACTAGTACTAGTATTACTAGTACTACTGCGACTACTACTACTAGTAGTACTAGGACTACTACTACTACTCCTACTGCTTCTACTACTACTACTAGTACTAGTACTAGCTACTACTACTACTACTACTACTACTACTAGTACTACTACTATGGCCGTACTACTACTACTACTACTACTACTACTACTACTACTACACTAGTACTAGTACTAGTACTACTACTACTACTGCTGCTACTACTACTACTGCTACTACTACCATTGCTACTACTACTACTACTACTACTACTACTACTAGTACTACTACTACTAACTACTACTATTACTACTACTAAGACTAGTACTAGTACTACTACTACTAGACTAGTATTAGTACGAGCGCGACTACTACTACTACTACTACTACTGCTACTACTACCACTATTACTACCAGTGCTAGTACTAGTACTAGTACTAGTACTAGTGCTACTACTACTACCGCTACCACTACCGTTTCTACTACCACTACCACTGCTACCACTACTACTACTACTACTACTACTACTTCTACTACTACTACTACTACTTCTACTACTACTAGTAGTACTCGTACCCGTACTCGTACTAGTACTAGTGTTACTACTGCTACTACTACTACTACCACTACGACTACCACTGCCATTACTACTACTACTACTACTACTACTACCACGAGTACTACTGCTACTACTACTACTACTACTACTACTAGTACTAGTACTAGTACGAGTACTAATATTAGTACTAGTACTACTACTACTACTACTACTACTACTACTACTACTCCTAGTACTAGTGCCAGTACTAGTACAAATACTAGTACTGCGACTACTACTACTACTAGTACTAGTACGAGTGCTACTACTACTACGACTACCATTACCATTACTATTAGTACTACCACTACCACTACTACGGCTTCTACTACTACTACTACTACCACTACTACGACTACTACTACTACTACCACCACTACCATTACTACTACTACTGCTACTACCACCGCTACTACTACTACTACTAATACTACTGCTACTACTACTACTACTACTACTACTAGTACTAGTACTAGTACGAGTACTACTGCTACTATTACTACGACTAGTACTAGTACAAGCACTAGTACTAGTACTAGTACTAGTACTAGTACTAGTACTACTACTACCACTACTACTACTACTACAACTACCACTACAATTACTACGATTACTACTACTACTACTACTACTACTACTATTGCTACTACCCTACTACTATTACTATTACTACTACTAGTTCTACTACCAGTACTAGTACTAGCACTAGTACTAGTACTAGTACTACTACTACTACTACTACTACTACTACTACTACTACCACTACCATTACTACGACTACTACTATCACTACTACTACTACCATTACTACTACTACGACCCACTACTACTTCTACCCAAGCAGCATCAATGAGAGTTCGTTGTTACTTTTTTCAAGTGAAACGTCCTCACGGGGAGACAGAAAGCTCTGGCGACGGCTCGGTGGGTGAGTGCTCTGGGGAGGCCTCCTCCCAGATAGCTTCCACCTCGGCGGAGTTATGGGCGCCCTTGGAACTAAATACTAATTCTCTGACGCCGTGCGACGAATTTCCGCGGCTGCTGTACGACGTGCGGGCCACTGGTGCAGCAACAGTGCGGGTGGTTGCTGACGCGTCTACTGACCACTGTATGTTTTGAAGCTGCTGCCTAAGAGACGGCTCAGGACGCTGGGTGGAAACGTGTTGCACTCGTCGATGACGGTGTTGTTCCCTGGCCTCCGCCACAGCCCGCCCGTCGAGCACTTCCATCCGAGCGGCGGCCTCTCTGATTTTTTTGTCGGCGTGCAGCTCACGTCGCCTCTTGAGCTTGGCCCTCCGCGCTTCAAGGACCTCCTCCAATGTCCTTTCGCGGCGTGGCCGTCCCTTTGGGGCCATGCCAAGGCGAACAATTCAATCGGCTGTTGTGTTATGTAGTGCAGACATGCAACATAAGGCTTGGACCAAGGTCGACGGAATACGATATGTCCGGCTGCAACTACAATCTGAAGATAATCTTCCGCCGCATTCCACTCCACTTCATCTTTATCTCCCTCCTCCCTGCTCACCCTCCTCCTTCCTCCTCCTCCTCCTCCCCCGCTCCCCATATGCTAATTCCAAGCTTCCGCCAGCTTCCTGCAACTACAATCTGAAGATAATCTTCCGCCGCATTCCACTCCACTTCATCTTTATCTCCCTCCTTCCTGCTCACCCTCATCCTTCCTCCTCCTCCTCCTCCTCCTCCTCCCCCGCTCCCCATATGCTAATTCCACGCTTCCGCCAGCTTCCTGCAACTACAATCTGAAGATAATCTTCTGCCGCATTCCACTCCACTTCATCTTTATCTCCCTCCTCTCTGCTCACCCTCCTCCTTCCTCCTCCTCCTCCTCCCCCGCTCCCCTATGCTAATTCCAAGCTTCCGCCAGCTTCCGCAAGCAACAGAATTGTCAGCCGAAGTTGCACTCCCACGCATCCCACTCCACTTCATCTTTATCTTCCTCCTCCCTCCTCCTCACTCCTCCTCCTCCTCCCCCCCCCCCTCTTCCTCCTCCTCCTCCTCCCTCCTCCCGCGCTCCCCTATGCAAATTGCAAGCTTCCGCCAGCTTCCGCAAGCATCAGAATGCTTCCGCCAACTTCCGCCAGCTGCGGCGGAGTGCTTGGCGAAGATACCTTCAGAGAGTCGGAAGATCCAAAAACAAATGCCACCCCGAGCAGGGTCCTCGAAATTCCAGCCCCATGCCGCTGGGCACAGGGCTAGAGTTTCGAGAACCATGCTCGGGGGGGCATATTTTACACATGTGGATGTGTTTTCCTCCTCCTCCTCCCTCCTCCTCCTCCTCCCCCGCTCTCCTATGCTCATGGCAAGCTCCCGCCAGCTTCCGCAAGCATCAGAATGCTTCCGCCAGCTGCCGCCAGCTGCGGCGGAATGCTTGGCGAAGAAACCTTAAGAGAATCGGAAGATCCCCAAAAAAATGCAGTCCGATCATGGTCCTCGAAATTCCAGCCCCATGCCGTTGGGCACAGGGCTAGAGTTTCGAGAACCATGCTCGGGGGGGCATTTTTTTACACACGTGGATGTGTTTTCCTTCTCCTCCTTCCTCCTCCTCCTCCTCCACCGCTCCCCTATGCTAATTGCAAGCTTCCGCCAGCTTCCGATGCCGATGCTCGGGGGGGGGGATGAATGCTAGAAGGCTGGCGAAGCGGGAAATGGAGAAAGAGAGAGAAAGAGAGATGAAGAACGAGGGGTAGATAACAAGAGGACGAACGAACTAAGATAATAATAAGATAATATGACAACGCAGAGAGATGGAGGAGCGATTCCACTCGATAAAAACCATATGAAAACGGCGAGGTCCGCCACAATTCCCCGACCTCGAGAGTTAAGGAATGGAGGAAGGAGCGAATAAGAAGACGGTAAAAAGAAGAAGAGGGAATAAAACCAATCAAGACGAGAAAGGTAGATCACAGAGGACGCTGTGAGCGCATATACATACATGTATACATATATGCGTGTGCATGTATGTATGCATGCATGCATGCATGTATGCATGTATGCATGTGTGTATGCATGTATGTGTGTATGCATGTATGTATGCATGCATGTCTGTATGTTTGCGTGCATTGATGTATGCATACACGCATGCATGCATGTATGTATGCATGCACCTTTAGGGCGGAGCTGTACCTTTACATGGTCTGTTACATGCACGGAGCTTGGCGGTCACCAGTTCTCGTCGCGCGGTCATTTCCCTCAGCTTTCCCCCTTCTCCCCAGCATTGCGCTTGAACCAACTTATGTATGCATGCATGTATGTATGCATGTATCTATGTACGCATGCGTGCAAGCATGCATGTATGTACGTATGTGTGTATGAATGTATGCGTGTGCTTATGTGTGCATGTATGCATGAATGTATGCATGTGTATATGTATATATGTATTCATGTATGCATGTATGCATGCATACGTGCATGTATAACTGTATGCATGTACGTACGTACGTACGTACATACTTATGCATGGTTGCACGCATTTTCATGTATGCATGTATGTATGTACGCATGCATGTATGTATATATGCATGCATGTATGTATGCAATTACATTTCAATGCACTGTAATGGAATGGCTGTCTGTTTGTCTGTCTGTTTGTCTGTCGAGCTGTCTGTATGTATGTATGTATGTATGTATGTGTGCATGTATGTGTGCACGATGCATGCATGCATGCATGCATGCAGGTATGCATGCATGCATATGTCTATGTGTATATATATATGTATATGTATGTATGTATAGGTTTTTTAGGTGTATATGTTTTATGTGTACATCTGTACGCATGTATGTATGTGTGCATGCATGTATGCAATGTAATGCAACGCGCTCTAATTTTAATGTCTGTCTATCAGTTTGTCTGTCTGTCTGCCTGCCTGTCGGTCTGTCTGCCTGTATGTATGTATGTATGTGTGTACAATGCATGCATGCATGTATATATCTATGTACATTTATGTATATGGTTTTAGTTTACATATGCATACTCACACGAAGGGGGGGGTCGAACTTCCTCCCCCTCAAGGAGGGGGGTTCGAACCAGGCTGGAGGGGCTTCCCCCTGCGCCGGCGCCGGCGCCGTCGGGCAGCGACGACGACGGTGATGGCCACGACGACGACCCTGACGACGACGTCGACGACCATCGAGCTTTAGTAGGATGTTTTTAAAGCTGGATCGGGGCCTAGCAGTATTCTATTCGATATGGATCGAGCCCTACCAGTCAATCAGAGCTGGATCCAGCCCTTCTATTCGAGCTGGATTGCGCCCCAGTAGGATGCAAGCAGAGCTGGATCGAACCCTGCTGGGGTGCGAGTAAAGGCGGACCGAGCCTTACCAGGATACAGTTGGATCCAGCTCTAGTCGGATTCCATGGGAGGTGGATCGAGTTGGATCCAGCCACGGTAGGATTCTATCAGGGCCGGGAAAAGCTCGAGTAGGACGCTTCCAAAGTTGGATCGAGCCTGGGTAGGATTCTATAATAGCTGGATCCAGCTATACCAGGATCCTATCAGAACTTGATCGGACTCTAATAGGATTCTGTTGCCCCCGTTCCGACCCCCCCATCCCTCGGAAAGGGCTTCCCCTCCATTTCCCCGGTTCGAGAATTCCCCCCCCCTTCCCCCCCCTTCGCAGGAGCAGGGCCCCCCCCCCGTTAGAGAGGCTGGTGTCCGCCTCTCCCCCCCCCCCGCACTTGGTTTTCAAGGCGCGCCAGATGTTCTTAGTCAAGGGCGTGAAAACGCGCCCCTGCCCGGGTTTACGAGGCACTGCGCGCTGAACCTGCCGTGGGATGACAGGGCAAGCCCTGCGTATGTCGCGCGTGTCGCGCGGCGTCCTGGCGGCTCTCTGGCCTTTTGGGAGCTCCCGGCAGGTTTGCAGACCACGCCCCTGTGACCCAGGGTAGGGGTGCTTTTCCATCCCTTAAGTTAGGTCCCTCCCCCCGGTTCCGACGCGTCCGTCGTTCCTTACTTAGGGTTCCTTAGGTCAACGCCCCGACTGTACGTTGTTGGAACCGCCAGACCCCCTCTTCAACTTATCAGATGCGTCGCCGACATACGCGCCGGGCTGAGGCCCCCCTGCACGTGGAGGGGCTTTCTCGGCCGCGCTGCTGAACGGTTCAGGCCCAGCCGCCAGACAGAGCCCAACCGTGTCGAGGTCGCCTACCTCGAGACTTTCATCGAACGCTGCGACAGGAACCGATCTGCGGGGGGGCGCTCAATGAAGCACGCAGAGAGGCGCGCCAGGGCAGCGGCCCTCGTGAGGAACGGGCACCTCTGCAGAACCCCAGGCCCCCTGTTCGCCTGACCCCTGCCGCGGCACGGCCCCCTTCCTCTGGGCTTGTAGTTGCTCTCCCACCTTCCTCATCGTCAGCCGCCTGGGGGAGGGGGTGTATGTTAATAGGGAACAGTGATAAACCCCTCCCCGAAGGGGAAGACGGAGGGGTTGAAGAGGAAACTCCCTAAACCACCGACGCCCAAAGGGGAGTTGGGATTTGTGCGCCACCTGAAAACCAGCCAGGAAAGGATGTCGGTTTCTGACATACCGCTCGTTATCCTCCCCAGATCGCGTGTGGACATCGAATCCCAGAACGGTTGAGACAGTAGACACTCACACAGCGTTGGCACCATGTCATCACTGCGTTGCCCGCATTGGCAGAAAAGCTGAGTGACAACATATCCGGCCTGAACCGAGGAGGAGGAGGAGGGGGAGGAGGAGGAGGAGGAGGAGGAGGAGGAGGAGGAGGAGGCCCAGAACTCGGATGGAGGCGTCGACGAAAGCCGAGCGCCCGATTTGCAGCCGTCGCCTGCCCGACCCCACGACCCGCCGCGGCGAAGCCAGAAACGCGCTCCCCCGGGGTACAATGTCGGAGTTCGCGGGCGCCGGGATGCCGATGCAGGGCGAGGCGCGACTGCTGAGCGGGCTCACCGAGAAGGCGATACGCAACGGCTTCGTCCGGAAGGTCGCTGCTCTGCCGTGCATCCTCGGCCCTCGGCCCTACCCGCCAGGGCATGTCCACGTCCACTGCTTCGGAGTCGTGCCCCCCCGGACTTCGAGGAGGAGTGCCAGGCACTGGGCATCGCCCTCCCCTGCGGCTGGGAAAGCATCCATTTGCACCGCTCCTGAGGGACCTGGCGCAGGGGTCTGGAAGTTGTGGATGTGGCTATCTCCTGGCGTCGCATTGGCACTGCGCTATTGGACTCGCTTTGGGGGTGACATTTCGTGGGCTCACGAAGGCCCTGGAGTGTATTCTGCCAGCCGCGCTTCGCCGGGAGCTCTCCCGGGGTGCCAGAACAGTCCCGAGCGGCCCTCCCTGGTCAGTGCTATGGCCAGGAGGCGCAGGAGGAGGAGGAGGGGAATTTCATTTCAGCCGCTGGTGTCCCAAGGAAGCGTGGAGCTTCAACCGCACGCCTGGCGCGCGGCGCGAAACATGATCCTCTTAAGCGGTGGTATCGCAGACGGCTTTCACACCCAGAGCCTCTCACATCAAGAGAGTACGGGGAATCAGTGCCAAATTAGAGGCAATGACAGCCTTTGATTTAGCTGCGAGCGGCATGTCACGCCACCAACAAGGTTGAGGCGCTTGATGCCGTGGTCCCATTTCTCGCTCATGAAGTGTACAGTCGCAAGAAAACACATCAAACATGCAAGCGCGTTATCGCATGATGCAGCAGCTTTCCCTGCTCTGCGTCTCCATTAGCATGACCCCTCAACTGTCAAGCATGTGCGAGGAGCCACGCGAGAGCCACGCGTGGCCAAGACGGGGGCCGCCAGCCAGGTGCCACGTCTTGAGGCCGTGACGCATGCTCGAGTGTCTTCAAAGGGGATCCAGGTTTTGGGCACATCTCCGAGGTGTATGGTATCCTGGGGGCGCAGCTGGTCGCCACCGCTGTCATCGGCCGGATCATCATGAGCGTTGGCGACTCTTTGCAAGAAAGCACGGTCCTTTTCCTGCTGTTCATGTCGCTGGCGATCTCGGTGGCGATGATGTGCGTGTTTATGTGTAGACCAGATATGATGCGCAAGTCTCCGTCGAATTACATCTGTCTCGGGCTGTACACGCTCGCGATGGGCATCATGGTCGGCTTCATCAGCGCCCAGTACACCCAGGAGTCTGTACTCATCGCCCTCGGCATCACGTGTCTCGTCGTGGTTGGCCTGACTGCGTTTGCCTGCCAAACAACGTACGACTTCACAGGCTGCGGGCCCTACCTGTTCTGTGCCTGCCTCGTTCTGATGGGCTTCAGCTTCACACTGTGGATCGCCTCCATTGCTGGTCTCCACGGCCCAGCCTTCCAGACTGCGCGCCTCGTCTATTCCGCCATGGGTGCCATGCTCTTCTCGGTGCAACCCCCCTCCTAAGATGCAACTCCTGGGAGGTTCAATTCTGAATCGTCGCTGGTGTATCCGCGGTCGAAAACCTTCCTAATCTGGCTCGCATCCTTTGTAATCCCGCTGAATCCTGGTTAATCTGGTTCAGTACCGTTCAATCCAGCTTGATCACTGGACTGATCCGGCTGAATATTGCATAATGGCCCTGTATCCGGCTTGATAGCCCCTAACTCTTTCCAACGAAGATCTCCCAGGAGTTTCTCCTAACCCTTCTCCATCCTCACTCATTGCTTCCTGCCTCCTCCCTCCCCCATCCCTCCTCCCTCCTCCCGCCTCTTTGCCTCCGTGCACTCTCCTCCCTCCTCTGCCCTCCTCTGCCCTCCTCTCCCCGCCTTCCCCTTCCCGTTCCGCATCGCCAGTTTAGCTCACGTTCGGGCTCGAGGGGGGCTCCCTCCGCAAGGGCGTGCGGTAGGTTGGCGTCGTGTCGACGCGGCGGCGACCCTGGCGCGGGCGCTCGAGGTGGAACGCCGCCGTCAGCGCGGAACTGGCCAAGATCGAGGGATCTGCGCCATCAGGGAAGCCGCGATCGTTCGCGGTGGAACGATCCGCGCGGTTCAGAGACCAGCGCGCGAGTCATGACGGCACGAACCTGCGGCAGCTACATCTTCGGCCACGCGCAGCGGGGGGTAGGGGGGAGAGGGGAAGGCCTCTCAGAAGGAGGCTGCGTCGCAGAAGGCGCGGGCATCCTCTGTAGGCGCAAGGCCAGCGCCTTCCAAGCGGCGGCCTCCTTCTAAGACACCTTCCCCCCTCCCCATGTGCCCCCTGTGCGCGCCGCCAACGATCGGGGGTGGACAGAACCCCCAACAGTGACACGTCGATTAGTGAATTGTCCGTTTTCGGTTCTCGAGAGGGCGCCGTGGCCGTCATTTTCCAGGCTTGCGCCCGGCAGGTTTGGGCTTCAGGCCGTTTTCACTAAACCACGTTTTACGAAAGGGGGGTCTGCCCATCCCTGAAACGAGGGCCTCGCCACTTCTCCAGCCTTGAGCCTTGGGCCTTCAGACCGGCTTGCTCGCGGCGCCCAGAGAGGCCTGACCTGCCTCTGTCTGCTGCGCGGCCTCCCGGGGCCGGGCGCCAGGCCCGTGACACCTTCGTCTCGTCGCGCGCCCGTCGTTGAAAGCAGGCGCTTTGGAGATCCAGATCCCAGTATGCTTGAGAGCGCCTTCCTGCTTCAAGAGACGATCTGGTCTTGCTGCCTTCCGTGGAAACTTGAGGCGGGCCTGAAGCCAACCTGCCTTATCCGCCTCTACACCTCCTGCCTCCACGCACCTCCTCCGACTGGTGGGCAAACCTATCCTCATCCACGCCAGGCCATGGCATCTGAGCCCCACCAGCCCACTCCCAGTTGGGGAGAGGCCCCGCCGATTCCCGGAGGGAACGGCCTATCTCCGCATCTAGGGGAGGTACATTGGCCAGCGGGGCCCAGGCCATGCTGGTGGGGATGGGGATCGGTTCAACGATGCTCATTGCTCGCTGGGCCTCGTGACATTCGGGGGAGCGTAAGACCCGGGTTTGCCAGGACTCGGGTTCGCCATCGTTTTTTGACGACCGCGACTCGGATTTTGACGAGGAGGAGTTTTGTGGGATGTCTGCAGCGGGAGGCCTCGTCAAAATGCAGGCTCGGCCTCGTCATTTTTTTGACGACCTCGTCGGGGATTTCCGAGTCCCCCGTACCCGGGTCTTACGTCTCCCCGAGACATGGTCGTGGACAGCCCCAGCCATAGATCGTACATCGCGGAAGTTTCCGCTCGTTTTCGATTGATTGAATGTGTATCGGCGAACAGCGCTCAACAGCTCTAAATGGCGCCCAATAGCGCCCAATGGCGCCCAGTAGCGCCGGATAGCGCTCACATAGCGCCCACCAGCGACCAGCGGCGGCCAGCACGGCCATGTGAGGGAGATGCACTCTGGGCATTCGCGGTGCGACGACGCGCAGAACGCAAGGCGATCTAGACCTCGGAAAACTGGGGGTGCCCCGCTGGAGCGGGTTGCACAAGTGCACCCACACGTTCTTCGAGTGTGTGGTGCCGATGGGATGCGTGCACTGGCCGATCGAGCTGTTTCACGCGCTCGCCTCAGCGTATACAGCGCCGACGCGCAGTCGGGCGTATGGTATGTCTTTCTTCCTTCGCTTCGGGAGGGAACAAACTTACCAATGACACGCCGCCGCTGGGAGTCCGTTCGCGCGTTGCTCCCCCGTTCTTGTCTGAAGGTCTGGTGCCCTCTCTAACAATAACACGCTGATGGGTTCCCCACGGCGGCGCGTCGTTTGTTTTTTTTAAGCCTTCCATGGACCGACCCCCGGTGGGCGACGCCAAAAAACGGGGTCGCCTGCGCCGACATCGGCGCGTCAGCTGCCCGCGTGGGCTCGCGCGTAATAACCGCCCTCGTCTCCACTGCAGCGCGCCGCGCTGGCGGCCCGTCTGAGCTGCGGCGTGAGGCCGCCGTGCCATCTCGCGCGAGACCCGTTCTTGAGCGTCGCTCGGGTGCCCTTCTGCTGGCTGGGCAGAGCGGGCGCCGGCTGCCGCGACCACCCCCGAGCGTGCTGCGCAGGAGGAGGAGGAGGAGGCGGAGGAGGATGATGATGAGGAGGAGGAGGAGGGGGAGGAGGAGGTGGATGAGGTGGAGGTGGAGGTGGAGGAGGCGGAGGAGGAGGCGGAGGAGGAGGAGGAGGAGGAGGAGGAGGGGGAGGAGGAGGTGGATGAGGTGGAGGTGGAGGTGGAGGAGGCGGAGGAGGAGGAGGCGGAGGAGGAGGAGGAGGAGGCGGCTGCGCTGCGCGCGCTCGGCCGCGTGCTCGGCCGCCGACGAGCCCGCCGTGCTGCCCCCGAGGCCAGCGCCGCGGGATCATGGCGAGAGCAGCGAGATCCGCTGCGACCCTCGCTGCGGACCAGGGAAAGCCGTCCGCTCGAGCATCCGCTTGGCACGCCTGGGCGTCTCGCTCCGAGCTGTCTGTCGGGCGTGTCCCTCTGCAGGAGGGATATATCCCAAGACGGTATGGGGACGATTCTTGGTCTCTTTTTGATGCTACGCTTGATTGCTTGTGGGGCGATTGTGTCATCCTTTCCCCGCCAGCCGCCTGTAGGAGGACATGCCCGACCCAATCCGAGCTTCGCACCGCTCCCGCCTCGGCCCCGGGGGGGGGCTCCACCAGTGCCCTCCCTGGCGCCCCCGAGGGAGCGGGGGGCCCCCGCGGGGCGGGTCGCGTGCGCGCCTCCCCCCTGCCAGGCCAGGGGGGGTGCTCCCGGGCCGTGTGGTCACGTCGGGCATGCCCCTCTACTTAGGTGGCAAATGATGGGAGCTTTCTTTTTCACCCAATGGTGTCTTGCTTCCTGCTTCGTGATCATTTAGTGTGTATTAGTGTTGTTTAGTGTTGCGTAGCGTTGCTCGTGCACGCCGGTCGGTGCGCGCGCGCGGCATCGCAGTTGTGCGAGCAATCCCAAATTCCTAAGATCGGCCGCAACCTTTTTCAAATTTCCTTTCTTCCTGTTCCTCCCGCAGGCGAACTAAATTGCACTAAATTGTACTAAACGCAACTAAACTGCACTAAGTTGCAATAGTGTGGGGCGCACTAAACGCCACTAACTTGCACTAAATTGCACTATATTGCACTAGGTTGCACTCAATTGCACTAAACGCAACGAAATTGCACTAGACGCCACTGAGTTACATTAAATTGCACTAGCGTTTCCCGCCGCGCCACACTAAACGCCACTAAATTGCGCTAAATTGCACTAGTGTGGGGCGCACCAAACGCTACTAACTTGCACTAAATTTGCTAAACTGCAAATTGCACTAGACGCCACTAAATTGCACTATGCGCCACTAAATTGCACTAGCTTGCGCTAAATTGCACTAGCGCCTCCCGCCGCGCCACACTAAACGCCACTAAATTGCGCTAGATTGCACTAGGGTGGGGCGCAGGCGACGCTAAGCTCGACAAACGAAGCTCCCATCAATGCCACCTAACTCTACTACAGTTATGATGTTCCAGCCTCCTTTCGCCTCGATCACCAGAAAGAACCTCGAGCACCAACAAGAAGGACCGAAACTCGAGGGTTTTCACGTGTCGGGCCCTGGGACACTCGTCCGACACTGTTTCGACACTTTTTCGACACTCTTTCGACACTTTTCCAGTTGCTCGAAATTATTTCTGGGATGTGTATAACTCTACAGGCGGAATGTCAAAATATTTGGTAAATAGCGGGGGCATGTTTGGGGTATTCTTAGTTTTCGTACAGAATCCGCCTGTAGGAGGACATGCCCGACCTAAGGTTCAGTCGGGCATGCCCCTCTACAGGAGGAATATCCAAGAACGGTAAGAACATAGTCTGGTGACGATTTTCCCTCTTTCATGGACGAGTTCATGATTACGTTACGCTTTTCTTCCACCATGCGGAGGACATGCCCGACCTCCTATTCTGGACGATTTTTTTGATTCTGCTCAACATCCGGAGGACATGTCCGACCTCACCGTATGGCAGCCTGCGGTCTGGTGCCCCCCACCGTTGTGCGCACCGTGCGAAAGAGGCAGGCGCCGCCACGCCATCGCGCCCGCGTCGCTCCGGAGCAGTGCTCCAGGGGGGCAGCCCAGGGGGGCAGCCCAGGGGGGGAGCCCAGGGGGGGAGCCCAGGGGGGGAGCCCAGGGGGTGAAATGAGACGGGGCGGGCCTCCTCAGGAGGCTCGGAAGCCCCTCGGCCTCCGGGGAGGCGTCCTCCCGGCCTTCCCCCGAGGGCACTGAGCGCACGCTCGCCGGAGGGCCGAGGAGGGGCGCCTCCGAGCAGCCCCGCCGCCCTCCGAGAGGACCTCCTCCCGCTCGCGTCGCTCCTCCCCCCCTCGCTCGCCGCCGAGCCCCTGCGCGCCAGGGCACATCGGCCCCTCTCCGGGCCCGCGCTCGGAGCCCGCCGCCACTCCTGGGCCCGCCACTCGGAGCCCGCGCTCGGAGCCCGCGCTCGGGCCCGCCGCTCGGAGCCCGCCGCCACTCCCTCGGGCCCTGTCGGCCCCGTCGGCCCCGCCTCGCCGCCGGGCCTCGCGGGCCCCGCCGCGGCGCCGCAGAGGCCGGCGAGGCGGCCGCGCGCGCGCGTTTTTTTTTGTTCTCTTTTTTTTTCCGGAGGCTCGAGGCCCCCGCGGCCGAGAGCGGGGCGCCCAGGGCACTGGCCGGGAGTGCGGCGCGGGCCGCCGGCGTGCGCAGAGGGGCCCTTTTCCCTGCCCCCCCCCCCCTCCTGGCTGCCTCGCATGCCTCTTCTTCCCGCCCCGCTCCGCCCTCCGCCCTCTGCCCTCCGCCCTCGCTCCTGGGTCCCTGCCCTCTCTCCCACTCCTCCCGCTCCTGCCTCCCCACCGACTTGCCCTGCTTGCCGCTCCCTCGCCTCTTGCTCCCTCACCCCTCCTCCCTCCCTTGTCCGTCCTCCTCTTCCTACTGTCCCCCTGCTTCTCGGCATACATCGTGTTCGACACCCAGATGATAGTCGGGGGCACGCACAAGTACCAGTTCTCGGTGGATGACTATGCCATGGCGGCCATCATGCTGTACATCGACATAATACAGCTGTTCGTCCACCTTCTGCGCATCTTCGGGAATCGTCGGTGAGCGGCCGTGAGTCCTCTGCGTTGGCCCTGCGCCTGAGTTGGTGTGCAAAGAGCACGGCGCGAAGCAGACGTAATAGTGCTCCTCTCGCACCCGTGCCATTTGAGATGGATACGCAAAACCGCCCGAGTTTGCATGTGGTATCTTCGCTACACCAGCCAATCCAGCCCGCCCTGTTGTGTCCCCTCGCCCTCCCCGCGAACGAGGGAGGAGGGGGAGGGGTTGCCAGGATTGGAAATGGTGGCCGTAGAGGCCGTCTCCCAGCTGGCTGCAGGCGAGGTGGGCCGGGGTAAATGGAGCATCCTGGCATGAAACCTCCGCCCCTCTTCGATGGTGTGTGTGTGTGCGTTTGTTGCCTTTGCTACAGGACAGGGTTTGCTCGTCAAGTCTCCGTGGCTCAATCGCCACCAGCTGCATCTGCAAATGCACCTGTACCATTCACCGCACTAGTGGTGTCTTACCAGGTGGCTTCCACGACAACCGTGTATGTAATTATGTGTGTATGCGTGTATATATGTACTAAGGCACGTATATGTGTATGAATGTATGTATGTCTGCATGCACGCATGTATTTATGCCTGTCTGTCTGTCTGTCTTTCTGTCTGTATGTATGTATGTATGTGGGTATGCTTGTATGTATGTATGTATGTATGTATGTATGTATGTACGTATGTATATATGTATGCATGCATGTATGTTTGTATGTTTGTATGTATGTATGTATGTATGTATGTATGTATGTATGTATGTGTGTGTATGCATGCATGCATGTATGCATGTATGTATGCATGTATGTATGTACGTACGTACGTATGCATGTATGTATGCGTGAATGTATGTGTGTGCATGTATGCATGCACGCATGCATGCATGTATGCACATATGCATATACGGTTACAGCGCCCTCTGAGATCTACCTTTCAAACATGAATGTACCTTTCTTTTTGTATACAAATGAAATAACAATCAACTCATTTAATCTATTTAATTATTTGATTAATTTAATTCAATTAATTCCTTTACTTTATTATTTAATTTATTTAATTCATTTAATTTATTTAATTTATTTAATTTTGATACACCTTCATCTGCCAAGGACGTGACAGAGGGAAGGGGTTCCCAGGGCCATTAAAAATTAAATAAATTAATTAAATTAAATAAATTAAATATTTCCTTGCGTTTTTTTGCATTTACAATAGGAAACCTATTGTGTAATAAAAACACAGGAAATCATTTAATTCATTTAATTTATTTAATTTATTTAATTTATTTAATTTATTTAACTTATTTAATTTTAGTACACCTCCATCTGCCGAGGAGGTGACAGGGGGAAGGGGTTACCAGGGCCATTAAAAATTAAATAAATTAAATAAATTAAATAATTAAATAAAATAAATAATACCTTGCGTTTTTTTTTTTTTTGCATTTACAATAGGAAACCTATTGTGTAGTAAAAAACACAGGAAATCATTTAATTTATTTAATTTATTTAATTTATTTTATTTATTTAATTTATTTAATTTTAATACACCTTGTTGATTTCCCAGGGTCGTGTGCCTCAGATCGATAGCGGATGGGCACGCCCGAAATGCAGCAGCAGGTGTGTCACGGAGTCTGCGCTTGAAGCCTTTGGCTCAAGGGTTCGAGTTTGAGAAAGATCATCGATCCAGAGAGGGATAATCGATCTTCATGGTAGCGTGAAGCTGGCCTCCTGGCGCGCTGCGGGCTGCGAGGGGAAGAAGGGCGTGATCGGCACGGCCCCGAGCACTCTCGCGAGCACGTCCACACCAGAGACGAGGAACGTGGAGTTCTAGCAGAAGGGAGCAGAGATGGAGCAGGTCATCCAGCAACTTCAGGCGCAGGTCCTGCAGCTGACTCAGCAGTTGCAGGCGGTCCAACAGGGCGCGGCCCAGCAGGGCGGCATGGCGGACGCGGTGGCCGCCATCAGGGAGCTCGCCAGGGCCCAGGCGGACAGATCTCGACCGACGCTGGTCGACACCAGGGGCCTAGGGAGGCCGAAGGTCTTCAGCAACAAGGAGGACGATTTCCAGAACTGGTCCCAGAAGGTGGAGTCGTTCTTCAGCGGGGTGTTCCCGGAGGCGGAGCGGCTTCTGGAGTGGAGCGCGGACCAAGGAGGAGAGGTCGAGCTGGACGCGGTCAGGGACGAGTTCGGGGAGCTCCAGGACGACCCTGAGCGCAGGGTCGAGCAGCTGGAGGCGATCACGCATCAGCTGTTCACGGCGCTGATCCAGCTGACGGAGGGTGAGTCGCTGAACATCGTGAAGAATTCTAAGAAGAACCCGTACGAGGCGTGGCGGCGGCTCCAGAAGAGGTTTGACCCAGCCACGGGAGGCCGCAAGAGGAACCTCCTTCGGACGATCCTGAATCCAGGGAGGTGCCGCATTGACGACCTGCAGGCGTCGATCGAGCGGTGGGAGAACTACGTCTCCAGGTATGAGAAGAAGGTGAACCACGCCATGGACGACGAGCTGAAGCTCGCAGGGTTCGAAGCGCTGGTGCCTGAGGAGCTGGAGAAGCACTTGATCATGAATGCGAACAGGCTGCAGACGTATGATCAGGCGAGGCTCGAGGTCGTCACATACGTGGAGGCCAAGACGGGGCTTCGCATCAGGGACAAGAAGCCGAGCGACAACATGAGCACTGACCCAGACGCGATGGACACCTCGGCGCTGAGCCTCAACTCGCTCAAGGGCGGCAAGAAAGGTCCGAAGGGAGGATGCTACAACTGCGGAGGCAACCACTTCGCGAAGGACTGCAAGAAGGGCAAGACTGGCCAGAGCAGGGACTCCAAAGGCAAAGGACGAGGAGGTTGGGGCGGAGGAGGCTCTAGCCCATCGTCCAAAGGAGGAGGCCAAGGAGGCGGAAAGGGTGACGGCAAAGCCCAAGGCAAGAGCAAGGGTAAGAAGGGCGACAAGGGCGGCAAGAGCAAGAGCACGCAGCACAGTCGCCCCCACGCCAGTGGTCTTGATGACGATCCTAAGGCAGGAGGAGAGGCGTGGCCGCCACCGCCGGCGCCTTGGCAGGAAGATCAAGGTTGGGACGAAGGAGGCTGGTCAGGAGAAGGTGTTTGGTCGATGGGAGCGTTGACCTTAGGCAGTCTCGAGGAGTGGAAGCCGGAGGTGCCGAAGGACATCGGCGCGATCGAGGACAGCAAGTACGAGTGGGTCAAGATGAACCTGGACTCGGGAGCTGGGGTGACCTCGTTCCCATTGGAGTTCGGGCCGGAGAGCACGGGCAACGGCAGCCTCTACAAGACGGCAAGCGGCGAGTGCATTCCAGACGGGGGCCCTTGGGAGTTCCTCGGCTATGACGAGAACGGCCGGTGGAGATCCTTGAAGGGCAGGCTCAGCGGCGTTCACAAGGTGCTGTGTTCTGCAGGCAAGATGGCGACGAATGGCAGGCAGAACTTCTACATGACGGCGGACGGCGGCTGGGTCATCCCGAAGGACTCGGACATAGGCCGCGAGATCGACAGGTCCATCGAGAGGTGCGTCAGCCGGTACGGCACGGACGAGTTGATCCCTCTGTACTTGGAGGACCAGGTGTACAATTTCTACATGCAGAGGGAGATCTCGGCGACCACCGTCGAGAGGAAGAAGGAGGTCGTCACGGGGGGCTCGAGTTCGGGAAACGGCTCGGGCAGGGCGCCAGAGCGCCCGTAAGTCCGTTCGAGGACGCCGTGATGGGAGACCCGGGCCCATCAGCGGCGGAGGCTGTACCGGGCGGCGGTGAGATTCCGCCAGAGGGTCTCGCCCAGGAGGAGACGGGCGAGGACGATCAAGGAGCTGAAGCACAGGGAGCTGAAGCACAAGAGGTGCCTCGTCGACGACACCCCCGGATGCCGTCGGCGAAGGAGGTTCAGGAACATGAGGATCAGGCTCACGCAGTTTTCCGAGCCTGGTGCAAGGCTTGTTGCGAAGGACGAGGATTGGGAGCACAACATCGGAGAGAGTTCGAGTTGGATCCGGAGTTCGGCGAGAACGTGGTACCGATTGTGGCCTTCGACTACGGCTTCATGACGCAAGAGGGCGCGGACACGTACCCGATCCTGGTGGTTCGGGAGACCAGGTTCAAGCATGCGGCGGCGACGTGCGTGGAGGCAAAGGGCGTGAACGCCTACGCGGTTGCGTTCATGGTGGGGCTGATTCGCGACTTGGGCTACCGTAGGCTGATCCTCAAGTGCGACAACGAGCCCGCCACCAAGGCGCTGCAGAAGAAGATTGAGGAGAGCGTCGTCGGAGTCGAGATCCTACCTCAAGGACCGCCCGAGGGAGACCATCGAGCGAACGGTCTGGTAGAGGCGGCGGTGAGGGAGGTCAAAAGGATGTGCCGAACGATACGTGTCGCTATGGAACTGAAGAGAGGAGAGAGAGTTGAGGACGACCACCCAATCCTGAGCTGGCTGCCCCGGTATGCGGCGCAGGCGATTAGCAAGATGAGGATCGGGACCGACGGCAAGACGGCGGAGATGCGAAGGACTGGTCGCCGGTGGCGCAAGCCGCTAGCACAGTTCGGTGAGAAGGTCTGGTTCCGACGCATCGGAGAGGATGGAGGCAGCAGCTATGCCAGCAGGATGACCCAGGGGAGGTTCGTTGGCCATCACGATCGGACTGGTGCGACGTTGTGCATGACTGGCAAAGGAGTGGTTCGCGGCAAGTCCTGGACGAGGCAGGCTCTAGAAGATGCTTGGGATAGAGCTGGCTGGGGCGATCTGTGTGGGACGCCCTGGGAGATGCTGGCCAAGGAGACCAAGCTGGAGAAGAAGGTGACAGCGGACAAGGACGGCAAGGGAGAGCCCCTGCCAAACCCACCAGGGGTGGAGAGGGCGCCGGAGGTGGCGCCAAGGAGGTTCTACGTCCTCACGGCAGACATCGAGGCTCATGGAGCGACGCCTCTCTGCCCGGGATGTGAGTCGATCGCCATACATGGCAAAGCGAAGAGGGCACACAGTGACGAGTGCCGAGAGAGGATCCGAGAGTTGCTGGAGAGGAGCCTGGAAGGGCGCGCGAGGATGGAAGCCTACAGGCAGCGGGTGGCAGCACACCCGGCAGGACCAGCAAGAGAGGCTGCAGCGGAACCAGCGGCGCCGCCGGCGCCGACAGGAGGAGGAGATGAACAGATGCGCGCTGATGAGGAAGGCGACGGACGCGTTGCCGGAGAAAGACAAGAAGCACGAGGAGTGCCAAGAGAGACGCTTCGAGTACCGCAAGAGGTGATTGAGGCCAAGAGGGCGGCAGGAGACCCACAAGGGGAGCGCCCAAGTACGAGAGCCAGATCGGCCACCCCGAGAGGGGTCAAGATCCCAGGTGAAGGAGGAGGAGAGCCTGCGACGAAGGAGCGGCGCAGGTCACCCAGCGTAGAGGTCAGAGGAGTGCGTTTGGTGGGAGGTTCCTCGAGCTCAGCGGGGCCGGCAGCACCTGTGGCGCCGGCGGCGGCTCCTGGGTCGGGGGCTGAGGCCAGTTCTGGCGCGGGCGCGGGACCAGCTGAGGGAGCCGTACCTAGAGTTTCTGGAGCTGGACATGTCGATGCGGATGTACCCATCACGGCCCTGGACTTGCTGGAGCCCATGAGGGGCCAGGACTCGAGGTACATGCAGGAGCTCCTGAACTGGTACAGGCACGATGAGATGGGGGACCTCGACCTCAGGGAGTTGGGCGAGCTGAAGGAGGAGCTCGCGGCGTTGAAGGCGCTGGACTTCACCGAGAAGGGCACAGAGGACGAGGAAGCTGATCTGGGAGCAGTGGACGTGATGGAGATCTTCTCGCCCCCGAGGTTCACGGAGGCGGCGAGGAGGCATGGGCTCAGGCCTGGCGTGGCAGTGGATCTCTCTACGTGCCGACCGAGTGACGGAGTCGGCTGGGATCTGCTGAGGAAGGATGACCAGGAAGAGCTCAACAGGATCATCGAGAAGGATGAACCCTGGCTGCTCACGGGGAGCCCGAGGTGCGACCCGTTCAGCCAGCTGCAGTACCTGAATAGGCTGACCACGGACGAGAAGGTCCGGGAGCGGAGGCTTCGAGATGGACGTGAAGGGCTGCGGGTCGCGATCGAGGCGTACAACAAGCAGTACGATGCCGGAAGGTACTTCCTGCATGAACACCCGGCCACAGCTACTTCATGGAAGGAGCAAGGCATGGAGGAGTTGATGTCCCGAGAGGGCGTCTACTACGCGCAGGGCCCGATGTGTCGGTACGGGCTTCAGCTGCCGGAGAAGTACCGGGACGAGAGTGACGGCGTCCCGGAGTACGTGAGGAAGGAGACGGGCTTCATCACGAACAGCGAGGAGATCTGGCATGAGCTGAATGGCAAGTGCTCCAACCTGGTTGGAGGAGAGCTTCACCGGCACACCGAGCTCAAGGGCGGAGTGGCTCACTTCGCGGCGAAGTACCCTCCGAAGTTCGTCAGTGCGGTGCTGAGGGCGCTGCGAAGGCAGCTGAGGAAGGATGGAGAGCTCAATGCAGTTGACGAGATCGCGGGACCGGTTCCCGAGATCCCGATCGAGTACAAGGAGATGCTCGAGAAAGGCGGAGGCTTCTGGGATGATGTCAACGGCGGTTTCCTTCCGACCGAGAAGGTCTTGGCGGCGCGCCAGGAGGAGATGGACTGGATCCACGGCGAGAAGGTCTACGACATCGTTCCGGAACAAGAGGCTCAAGAAGCAGGAGTACGACCACTGGATGTTCTATGGGTCGACACGGACAAGTCCATGGACCCGAACGAGCAGAAGGTGAGATCCAGGCTGTGCGTGCGCGAGTACAAGACGAAGAAGGATGGCAAGGTCCAGAGGGCTCTACCGGCGGCGCAGCTGTTCTCGGCGATGCCGCCGCTGGAGGCCGTGAAGATCTTGATGTCCAAGATGATGACGGGAGGCGTGTCCAAGTCAGGCAAGCGCCTGAAGTTGAGGCACTATGACATCTCCAGGGCGCACTTCATGGGCAAGGCTCAGCGGCTGGTGTACATCAGGCTCCCAGCCGAAGATCGCCAGCGCTACGGAGAGAAGATGCTCGGCCGCCTGGTGAAGTCGATGTACGGCACCCAGGACGCCTCACATCTTTGGCAGCTGGACTACGTGGAGCTGTGTTGCTCGAGTGAAGGCGGCTTCAAGAGGGGCAAGCATAACGCGGCGCTGTTCTTCAACCCGACGGCGGACATCAGCATGGCTGTCCATGGGGACGACTTCGTCGTGCTCTCGGACGACGACGGGCTGAACCACGTCGACAGGCTGCTGGCGTCGAAGTACCCGAGCAAGCTGATGGGCACCGTGGGCTTCGACGACGGCGACAACGACAGCTTGCAGCTGCTGAACAGGATCGTGAGGAGAGGCCGAGATGCTAGAGGAGAATACCTCGAGATCGAGCCCGACCCGAGGCATGCGAAGATGATCCTGGCGGAGACGGGCTGCGCGGAATCCACGAAGGCCGTCAACACGCCCAGGGAGAAGATCAAGGACGCGACGGTCCTCGAGGGCATCAAGGGCAAGAAGCTGGTCGCGAGCGAGGTCACTCGCTACAGGTCGGTGTGCATGAGGCTCAGCTACCTGGCGCAGGACCGGCTGGACCTGGTGGAGAGCGCGAAGAGTGCGGCTCAGCGGATGGCTGGTCCGACGGAGTTCGACTGGCAGCCGCTTAAGAGGGTCGCTCGCTACTTAGCAGGTCGACCGAGGGCTTCGATCCGGTATCGGATGCAGGCGCCGGTGGACAAGATCGAGGTGTACGTGGACAGCGACTTCGCGGGGGACCCCATCAGCCGGAAGTCGACGACGGGCTTGGTGGCCATGGTGGGGTCGCACCCCATCAAGGGCAGCAGTACCCTGCAGAGCCTCACTTCTCTCAGCGTGGGTGAGGCGGAGTTCTACGCAGTGGTCAAGGGGGCTGCAGTGGCGCTGATGCTGAGGTCCATCTACGAGGACTTCGGCGACAACATGGAGGCTCGGGTGCTGAGCGACAGCACCACCGCCGGGAGCCTGGCCGACCGTCTGGGTGTTGGGCAGAGGACCAAGCACATCCAGACGAGGTTCCTGTGGGTCCAGGAGCGGGTGCAGGACAAGGACCTGAAGGTGGTGAAGGTTCACACGTCCAGGAACCTGGCCGACCTGGCGACGAAGCCAGTGAGCGGAGTTCTTCTGGATAAGCACTGCGGAGCGGCAGGCCTTATCTTCTCATCGAGATGACCGGGCCATTAAAAATTAAATAAATTAAATAAATTAAATAAATTAAATATTTCCTTGCGTTTTTTTGCATTTACAATAGGAAACCTATTGTGTAATAAAAAACACAGGAAATCATTTAATTCATTTAATTTATTTAATTTATTTAATTTATTTAATTTATTTAATTTTAGTACACCTCCATCTGCCGAGGAGGTGACAGGGGGAAGGGGTTACCAGGGCCATTAAAAATTAAATAAATTAAATAAATTAAATAATTAAATAAAATAAATAATACCTTGCGTTTTTTTTTGCATTTACAATAGGAAACCTATTGTGTAATAAAAAACACAGGAAATCATTTAATTTATTTAATTTATTTAATTTATTTTATTTATTTAATTTATTTAATTTTAATACACCTCCATCTGCCGAGGAGGTGACAGGGGGAAGGGGTTACCAGGGCCATTAAAAATTAAATAAATTAAATAAATTAAACAAATTAAATAAATTAAATAATTCCTTGCGTTTTTTGCATTTACAATAGGAAACCTATTGTGTAATTTAAAACACAAGGAATCATTTAATTGATTTAATTTATTTAATTTATTTAATTTATTTAATTCCAATACACCTCCATCTACCGAGGAGGTGATAGGGGAAAGGGGTTATCAGGGCGATTAAACATTAAATAAATTAAATAAATTAAATAAATTAAATAGATTGAATAAATTAAATAAATAAAATAAATTAAACAAATTAAATAAATTAAATAAATTAATTAAACAAATTAAATAATTCCTTGCGTTTCTGGCAGTCACACTAGGAAACCTATTGTGTACAATAAGAACCTATTTTGGAATAAACACGCAGGACATTAAAAGGAACATGCGATTGGAAGTGTCGGCGATGCAATGTCAAGAGAGATTTGGATGATTTTCCTGTGCACCACGCGCACCAGCTCGTCAGTATCCAAAGAACAACATACTGGAGAGAGCATGATTGAATAGCTATTTGACATGACATGTCCCATGGCTTTCCCATTTGTCATCGGTTCGTTCCAATACTTCCACTGGAATCTCTACTAATATTATTAATACCAGTAATGGTATTACCACTAATAGTACTACTACTACTACCACTGCTACCTCACCACTTTACTGCTGCTACTATTAAAGAATATAAGTACGAGTACTAGTACTAGTAACTCGTACTCGTACGCGTACTAGTACTACTACTACGACTAGTATTAGTACTATTACTAGTACTAGTATTACTAGTACTACTGCGACTACTACTACTAGTAGTACTAGGACTACTACTACTACTCCTACTGCTTCTACTACTACTACTAGTACTAGTACTAGTTCTACTACTAATACTACTGCTACTACTACTACTACTACTACTACTACCACTACCAGTACTACTACTATGGCCGCTACTACTACTACTACTACTACTACTACTACTACTACTACTAGTACTAGTAATAGTACTAGTACTAGTAATAGTACTAGTACTAGTACTAGTACTACTACTACTACTGCTGCTACTACTACTACTGCTACTACTACCATTGCTACTCTTACTCCTACTACCACCGCTACTACTACTACTACCTCTACTACTAGTGCCAGTACTAGTACGACTACCACTACTACTACTACTACTATTACTACTACTAAGACTAGTACTAGTACTACTACTACTAGACTAGTATTAGTACGAGCGCGACTACTACTACTACTACTACTACTGCTACTACTACCACTATTACTACCAGTGCTAGTACTAGTACTAGTACTAGTACTAGTGCTACTACTACTACCGCTACCACTACCGTTTCTACTACCACTACCACTGCTACCACTACTACTACTACTACTACTACTACTTCTACTACTACTACTACTACTTCTACTACTACTAGTAGTACTCGTACCCGTACTCGTACTAGTACTAGTGTTACTACTGCTACTACTACTACTACCACTACGACTACCACTGCCATTACTACTACTACTACTACTACTACTACCACGAGTACTACTGCTACTACTACTACTACTACTACTACTAGTACTAGTACTAGTACGAGTACTAATATTAGTACTAGTACTACTACTACTACTACTACTACTACTACTACTACTCCTAGTACTAGTGCCAGTACTAGTACAAATACTAGTACTGCGACTACTACTACTACTAGTACTAGTACGAGTGCTACTACTACTACGACTACCATTACCATTACTATTAGTACTACCACTACCACTACTACGGCTTCTACTACTACTACTACTACCACTACTACGACTACTACTACTACTACCACCACTACCATTACTACTACTACTGCTACTACCACCGCTACTACTACTACTACTAATACTACTGCTACTACTACTACTACTACTACTACTAGTACTAGTACTAGTACGAGTACTACTGCTACTATTACTACGACTAGTACTAGTACAAGCACTAGTACTAGTACTAGTACTAGTACTAGTACTAGTACTACTACTACCACTACTACTACTACTACAACTACCACTACAATTACTACGATTACTACTACTACTACTACTACTACTACTATTGCTACTACCCTACTACTATTACTATTACTACTACTAGTTCTACTACCAGTACTAGTACTAGCACTAGTACTAGTACTAGTACTACTACTACTACTACTACTACTACTACTACTACTACCACTACCATTACTACGACTACTACTATCACTACTACTACTACCATTACTACTACTACGACCCACTACTACTTCTACCCAAGCAGCATCAATGAGAGTTCGTTGTTACTTTTTCAAGTGAAAGGTCCTCACGGGGAGACAGAAAGCTCTGGCGACGGCTCGGTGGGTGAGTGCTCTGGGGAGGCCTCCTCCCAGATAGCTTCCACCTCGGCGGAGTTATGGGCGCCCTTGGAACTAAATACTAATTCTCTGACGCCGTGCGACGAATTTCCGCGGCTGCTGTACGACGTGCGGGCCACTGGTGCAGCAACAGTGCGGGTGGTTGCTGACGCGTCTACTGACCACTGTATGTTTTGAAGCTGCTGCCTAAGAGACGGCTCAGGACGCTGGGTGGAAACGTGTTGCACTCGTCGATGACGGTGTTGTTCCCTGGCCTCCGCCACAGCCCGCCCGTCGAGCACTTCCATCCGAGCGGCGGCCTCTCTGATTTTTTTGTCGGCGTGCAGCTCACGTCGCCTCTTGAGCTTGGCCCTCCGCGCTTCAAGGACCTCCTCCAATGTCCTTTCGCGGCGTGGCCGTCCCTTTGGGGCCATGCCAAGGCGAACAATTCAATCGGCTGTTGTGTTATGTAGTGCAGACATGCAACGTAAGGCTTGGACCAAGGTCGACGGGATACGATATGTCCGGCTGCAACTACAATCTGAAGATAATCTTCCGCCGCATTCCACTCCACTTCATCTTTATCTCCCTCCTCCCTGCTCACCCTCCTCCTTCCTCCTCCTCCTCCTCCTCCCCCGCTCCCCATATGCTAATTCCAAGCTTCCGCCAGCTTCCTGCAACTGCAATCTGAAGATAATCTTCCGCCGCATTCCACTCCACTTCATCTTTATCTCCCTCCTTCCTGCTCGCTCTCATCCTTCCTCCTCCCCCTCCTCCTCCCCCCCCCCCCCGCTCCCCATATGCTAATTCCACGCTTCCGCCAGCTTCCTGCAACTACAATCTGAAGATAACCTTCTTCCGCATTCCACTCCACTTCATCTTTATCTCCCTCCTCTCTGCTCGCCCTCCTCCTTCCTCCTCCTCCTCCTCCCCCGCTCCCCTATGCTAATTCCAAGCTTCCGCCAGCTTCCGCGAGCAACAGAATTGTCAGCCGAAGTTGCGCTCCCACGCATCCCACTCCACTTCATCTTTATCTTCCTCCTCCCTCCTCCTCACTCCTCCTCCTCCTCCCCCCCCCCCTCTTCCTCCTCCTCCTCATCCCTCCTCCCGCGCTCCCCTATGCAAATTGCAAGCTTCCGCCAGCTTCCGCAAGCATCAGAATGCTTCCGCCAACTTCCGCCAGCTGCGGCGGAGTGCTTGGCGAAGATACCTTCAGAGAGTCGGAAGATCCAAAAACAAATGCCACCCCGAGCAGGGTCCTCGAAATTCCAGCCCCATGCCGCTGGGCACAGGGCTAGAGTTTCGAGAACCATGCTCGGGGGGGCATATTTTACACATGTGGATGTGTTTTCCTCCTCCTCCTCCCTCCTCCTCCTCCTCCCCCGCTCTCCTATGCTTATGGCAAGCTCCCGCCAGCTTCCGCAAGCATCAGAATGCTTCCGCCAGCTGCCGCCAGCTGCGGCGGAATGCTTGGCGAAGAAACCTTAAGAGAATCGGAAGATCCCCAAAAAAATGCCCCCCCGAGCATGGTCCTCGAAATTCCAGCCCCATGCCGTTGGGCACAGGGCTAGAGTTTCGAGAACCATGCTCGGGGGGGCATTTTTTTACACACGTGGATGTGTTTTCCTTCTCCTCCTTCCTCCTCCTCCTCCTCCACCGCTCCCCTATGCTAATTGCAAGCTTCCGCCAGCTTCCGATGCCGATGCTCGGGGGGGGGGGGGGGGGGGGGGGGGGGGGAGGGGGTGGGTCGGGGGGGGGGGGGGGGGGGGGGGGGCGGGGGGGGGGGGGGGGGAGGGGGGAATGCTAGAAGGCTGGCGAAGCGGGAAATGGAGAAAGAGAGAGAGAAAGAGAGATGAAGAACGAGGGGTAGATAACAAGAGGACGAACGAACTAAGATAATAATAAGATAATATGACAACGCAGAGAGATGGAGGAGCGATTCCACTCGATAAAAACCATATGAAAACGGCGAGGTCCGCCACAATTCCCCGACCTCGAGAGTTAAGGAATGGAGGAAGGAGCGAATAAGAAGACGGTAAAAATAAGAAGAGGGAATAAAGCCAATCAAGACGAGAAAGGTAGATCACAGAGGACGTTGTGAGCGCATATACATATATGTATACATATATGCGTGTGCATGTATGTATGCATGCATGCATGCATGTATGCATGTATGCATGTGTGTATGCATGTATGTGTGTATGCATGTATGTATGCATGCATGTCTGTATGTTTGCGTGCATTGATGTATGCATACACGCATGCATGCATGTATGTATGCATGCACCTTTAGGGCGGAGCTGTACCTTTACATGGTCTGTTACATGCACGGAGCTTGGCGGTCACCAGTTCTCGTCGCGCGGTCATTTCCCTCAGCTTTCCCCCTTCTCCCCAGCATTGCGCTTGAACCAACTTATGTATGCATGCATGTATGTATGCATGTATCTATGTACGCATGCGTGCAAGCATGCATGTATGTACGTATGTGTGTATGAATGTATGCGTGTGCTTATGTGTGCATGTATGCATGAATGTATGCATGTGTATATGTATATATGTATTCATGTATGCATGTATGCATGCATACGTGCATGTATAACTGTATGCATGTACGTACGTACGTACGTACATACTTATGCATGGTTGCACGCATTTTCATGTATGCATGTATGTATGTACGCATGCATGTATGTATATATGCATGCATGTATGTATGCAATTACATTTCAATGCACTGTAATGGAATGGCTGTCTGTTTGTCTGTCTGTTTGTCTGTCGAGCTGTCTGTATGTATGTATGTATGTATGTATGTGTGCATGTATGTGTGCACGATGCATGCATGCATGCATGCATGCAGGTATGCATGCATGCATATGTCTATGTGTATATATATATATGTATATGTATGTATGTATAGGTTTTTTAGGTGTATATGTTTTATGTGTACATCTGTACGCATGTATGTATGTGTGCATGCATGTATGCAATGTAATGCAATGCGCTCTAATTTTAATGTCTGTCTATCAGTTTGTCTGTCTGTCTGCCTGCCTGTCGGTCTGTCTGCCTGTATGTATGTATGTATGTGTGTACAATGCATGCATGCATGTATATATCTATGTACATTTATGTATATGGTTTTAGTTTACATATGCATACTCACACGAAGGGGGGGGTCGAACTTCCTCCCCCTCAAGGAGGGGGGTTCGAACCAGGCTGGAGGGGCTTCCCCCTGCGCCGGCGCCGGCGCCGTCGGGCAGCGACGACGACGGTGATGGCCACGACGACGACCCTGACGACGACGTCGACGACCATCGAGCTTTAGTAGGATGTTTTTAAAGCTGGATCGGGGCCTAGCAGTATTCTATTCGATATGGATCGAGCCCTACCAGTCAATCAGAGCTGGATCCAGCCCTTCTATTCGAGCTGGATTGCGCCCCAGTAGGATGCAAGCAGAGCTGGATCGAACCCTGCTGGGGTGCGAGTAAAGGCGGACCGAGCCTTACCAGGATACAGTTGGATCCAGCTCTAGTCGGATTCCATGGGAGGTGGATCGAGTTGGATCCAGCCACGGTAGGATTCTATCAGGGCCGGGAAAAGCTCGAGTAGGACGCTTCCAAAGTTGGATCGAGCCTGGGTAGGATTCTATAATAGCTGGATCCAGCTATACCAGGATCCTATCAGAACTTGATCGGACTCTAATAGGATTCTGTTGCCCCCGTTCCGACCCCCCCATCCCTCGGAAAGGGCTTCCCCTCCATTTCCCCGGTTCGAGAATTCCCCCCCCCTTCCCCCCCCTTCGCAGGAGCAGGGCCCCCCCCCCGTTAGAGAGGCTGGTGTCCGCCTCTCCCCCCCCCCCGCACTTGGTTTTCAAGGCGCGCCAGATGTTCTTAGTCAAGGGCGTGAAAACGCGCCCCTGCCCGGGTTTACGAGGCACTGCGCGCTGAACCTGCCGTGGGATGACAGGGCAAGCCCTGCGTATGTCGCGCGTGTCGCGCGGCGTCCTGGCGGCTCTCTGGCCTTTTGGGAGCTCCCGGCAGGTTTGCAGACCACGCCCCTGTGACCCAGGGTAGGGGTGCTTTTCCATCCCTTAAGTTAGGTCCCTCCCCCCGGTTCCGACGCGTCCGTCGTTCCTTACTTAGGGTTCCTTAGGTCAACGCCCCGACTGTACGTTGTTGGAACCGCCAGACCCCCTCTTCAACTTATCAGATGCGTCGCCGACATACGCGCCGGGCTGAGGCCCCCCTGCACGTGGAGGGGCTTTCTCGGCCGCGCTGCTGAACGGTTCAGGCCCAGCCGCCAGACAGAGCCCAACCGTGTCGAGGTCGCCTACCTCGAGACTTTCATCGAACGCTGCGACAGGAACCGATCTGCGGGGGGGCGCTCAATGAAGCACGCAGAGAGGCGCGCCAGGGCAGCGGCCCTCGTGAGGAACGGGCACCTCTGCAGAACCCCAGGCCCCCTGTTCGCCTGACCCCTGCCGCGGCACGGCCCCCTTCCTCTGGGCTTGTAGTTGCTCTCCCACCTTCCTCATCGTCAGCCGCCTGGGGGAGGGGGTGTATGTTAATAGGGAACAGTGATAAACCCCTCCCCGAAGGGGAAGACGGAGGGGTTGAAGAGGAAACTCCCTAAACCACCGACGCCCAAAGGGGAGTTGGGATTTGTGCGCCACCTGAAAACCAGCCAGGAAAGGATGTCGGTTTCTGACATACCGCTCGTTATCTTCCCCAGATCGCGTGTGGACATCGAATCCCAGAACGGTTGAGACAGTAGACACTCACACAGCGTTGGCACCATGTCATCACTGCGTTGCCCGCATTGGCAGAAAAGCTGAGTGACAACATATCCGGCCTGAACCGAGGAGGAGGAGGAGGGGGAGGAGGAGGAGGAGGAGGAGGAGGAGGAGGAGGAGGAGGAGGCCCAGAACTCGGATGGAGGCGTCGACGAAAGCCGAGCGCCCGATTTGCAGCCGTCGCCTGCCCGACCCCACGACCCGCCGCGGCGAAGCCAGAAACGCGCTCCCCCGGGGTACAATGTCGGAGTTCGCGGGCGCCGGGATGCCGATGCAGGGCGAGGCGCGACTGCTGAGCGGGCTCACCGAGAAGGCGATACGCAACGGCTTCGTCCGGAAGGTCGCTGCTCTGCCGTGCATCCTCGGCCCTCGGCCCTACCCGCCAGGGCATGTCCACGTCCACTGCTTCGGAGTCGTGCCCCCCCGGACTTCGAGGAGGAGTGCCAGGCACTGGGCATCGCCCTCCCCTGCGGCTGGGAAAGCATCCATTTGCACCGCTCCTGAGGGACCTGGCGCAGGGGTCTGGAAGTTGTGGATGTGGCTATCTCCTGGCGTCGCATTGGCACTGCGCTATTGGACTCGCTTTGGGGGTGACATTTCGTGGGCTCACGAAGGCCCTGGAGTGTATTCTGCCAGCCGCGCTTCGCCGGGAGCTCTCCCGGGGTGCCAGAACAGTCCCGAGCGGCCCTCCCTGGTCAGTGCTATGGCCAGGAGGCGCAGGAGGAGGAGGAGGGGAATTTCATTTCAGCCGCTGGTGTCCCAAGGAAGCGTGGAGCTTCAACCGCACGCCTGGCGCGCGGCGCGAAACATGATCCTCTTAAGCGGTGGTATCGCAGACGGCTTTCACACCCAGAGCCTCTCACATCAAGAGAGTACGGGGAATCAGTGCCAAATTAGAGGCAATGACAGCCTTTGATTTAGCTGCGAGCGGCATGTCACGCCACCAACAAGGTTGAGGCGCTTGATGCCGTGGTCCCATTTCTCGCTCATGAAGTGTACAGTCGCAAGAAAACACATCAAACATGCAAGCGCGTTATCGCATGATGCAGCAGCTTTCCCTGCTCTGCGTCTCCATTAGCATGACCCCTCAACTGTCAAGCATGTGCGAGGAGCCACGCGAGAGCCACGCGTGGCCAAGACGGGGGCCGCCAGCCAGGTGCCACGTCTTGAGGCCGTGACGCATGCTCGAGTGTCTTCAAAGGGGATCCAGGTTTTGGGCACATCTCCGAGGTGTATGGTATCCTGGGGGCGCAGCTGGTCGCCACCGCTGTCATCGGCCGGATCATCATGAGCGTTGGCGACTCTTTGCAAGAAAGCACGGTCCTTTTCCTGCTGTTCATGTCGCTGGCGATCTCGGTGGCGATGATGTGCGTGTTTATGTGTAGACCAGATATGATGCGCAAGTCTCCGTCGAATTACATCTGTCTCGGGCTGTACACGCTCGCGATGGGCATCATGGTCGGCTTCATCAGCGCCCAGTACACCCAGGAGTCTGTACTCATCGCCCTCGGCATCACGTGTCTCGTCGTGGTTGGCCTGACTGCGTTTGCCTGCCAAACAACGTACGACTTCACAGGCTGCGGGCCCTACCTGTTCTGTGCCTGCCTCGTTCTGATGGGCTTCAGCTTCACACTGTGGATCGCCTCCATTGCTGGTCTCCACGGCCCAGCCTTCCAGACTGCGCGCCTCGTCTATTCCGCCATGGGTGCCATGCTCTTCTCGGTGCAACCCCCCTCCTAAGATGCAACTCCTGGGAGGTTCAATTCTGAATCGTCGCTGGTGTATCCGCGGTCGAAAACCTTCCTAATCTGGCTCGCATCCTTTGTAATCCCGCTGAATCCTGGTTAATCTGGTTCAGTACCGTTCAATCCAGCTTGATCACTGGACTGATCCGGCTGAATATTGCATAATGGCCCTGTATCCGGCTTGATAGCCCCTAACTCTTTCCAACGAAGATCTCCCAGGAGTTTCTCCTAACCCTTCTCCATCCTCACTCATTGCTTCCTGCCTCCTCCCTCCCCCATCCCTCCTCCCTCCTCCCGCCTCTTTGCCTCCGTGCACTCTCCTCCCTCCTCTGCCCTCCTCTGCCCTCCTCTCCCCGCCTTCCCCTTCCCGTTCCGCATCGCCAGTTTAGCTCACGTTCGGGCTCGAGGGGGGCTCCCTCCGCAAGGGCGTGCGGTAGGTTGGCGTCGTGTCGACGCGGCGGCGACCCTGGCGCGGGCGCTCGAGGTGGAACGCCGCCGTCAGCGCGGAACTGGCCAAGATCGAGGGATCTGCGCCATCAGGGAAGCCGCGATCGTTCGCGGTGGAACGATCCGCGCGGTTCAGAGACCAGCGCGCGAGTCATGACGGCACGAACCTGCGGCAGCTACATCTTCGGCCACGCGCAGCGGGGGGTAGGGGGGAGAGGGGAAGGCCTCTCAGAAGGAGGCTGCGTCGCAGAAGGCGCGGGCATCCTCTGTAGGCGCAAGGCCAGCGCCTTCCAAGCGGCGGCCTCCTTCTAAGACACCTTCCCCCCTCCCCATGTGCCCCCTGTGCGCGCCGCCAACGATCGGGGGTGGACAGAACCCCCAACAGTGACACGTCGATTAGTGAATTGTCCGTTTTCGGTTCTCGAGAGGGCGCCGTGGCCGTCATTTTCCAGGCTTGCGCCCGGCAGGTTTGGGCTTCAGGCCGTTTTCACTAAACCACGTTTTACGAAAGGGGGGTCTGCCCATCCCTGAAACGAGGGCCTCGCCACTTCTCCAGCCTTGAGCCTTGGGCCTTCAGACCGGCTTGCTCGCGGCGCCCAGAGAGGCCTGACCTGCCTCTGTCTGCTGCGCGGCCTCCCGGGGCCGGGCGCCAGGCCCGTGACACCTTCGTCTCGTCGCGCGCCCGTCGTTGAAAGCAGGCGCTTTGGAGATCCAGATCCCAGTATGCTTGAGAGCGCCTTCCTGCTTCAAGAGACGATCTGGTCTTGCTGCCTTCCGTGGAAACTTGAGGCGGGCCTGAAGCCAACCTGCCTTATCCGCCTCTACACCTCCTGCCTCCACGCACCTCCTCCGACTGGTGGGCAAACCTATCCTCATCCACGCCAGGCCATGGCATCTGAGCCCCACCAGCCCACTCCCAGTTGGGGAGAGGCCCCGCCGATTCCCGGAGGGAACGGCCTATCTCCGCATCTAGGGGAGGTACATTGGCCAGCGGGGCCCAGGCCATGCTGGTGGGGATGGGGATCGGTTCAACGATGCTCATTGCTCGCTGGGCCTCGTGACATTCGGGGGAGCGTAAGACCCGGGTTTGCCAGGACTCGGGTTCGCCATCGTTTTTTGACGACCGCGACTCGGATTTTGACGAGGAGGAGTTTTGTGGGATGTCTGCAGCGGGAGGCCTCGTCAAAATGCAGGCTCGGCCTCGTCATTTTTTTGACGACCTCGTCGGGGATTTCCGAGTCCCCCGTACCCGGGTCTTACGTCTCCCCGAGACATGGTCGTGGACAGCCCCAGCCATAGATCGTACATCGCGGAAGTTTCCGCTCGTTTTCGATTGATTGAATGTGTATCGGCGAACAGCGCTCAACAGCTCTAAATGGCGCCCAATAGCGCCCAATGGCGCCCAGTAGCGCCGGATAGCGCTCACATAGCGCCCACCAGCGACCAGCGGCGGCCAGCACGGCCATGTGAGGGAGATGCACTCTGGGCATTCGCGGTGCGACGACGCGCAGAACGCAAGGCGATCTAGACCTCGGAAAACTGGGGGTGCCCCGCTGGAGCGGGTTGCACAAGTGCACCCACACGTTCTTCGAGTGTGTGGTGCCGATGGGATGCGTGCACTGGCCGATCGAGCTGTTTCACGCGCTCGCCTCAGCGTATACAGCGCCGACGCGCAGTCGGGCGTATGGTATGTCTTTCTTCCTTCGCTTCGGGAGGGAACAAACTTACCAATGACACGCCGCCGCTGGGAGTCCGTTCGCGCGTTGCTCCCCCGTTCTTGTCTGAAGGTCTGGTGCCCTCTCTAACAATAACACGCTGATGGGTTCCCCACGGCGGCGCGTCGTTTGTTTTTTTTAAGCCTTCCATGGACCGACCCCCGGTGGGCGACGCCAAAAAACGGGGTCGCCTGCGCCGACATCGGCGCGTCAGCTGCCCGCGTGGGCTCGCGCGTAATAACCGCCCTCGTCTCCACTGCAGCGCGCCGCGCTGGCGGCCCGTCTGAGCTGCGGCGTGAGGCCGCCGTGCCATCTCGCGCGAGACCCGTTCTTGAGCGTCGCTCGGGTGCCCTTCTGCTGGCTGGGCAGAGCGGGCGCCGGCTGCCGCGACCACCCCCGAGCGTGCTGCGCAGGAGGAGGAGGAGGAGGCGGAGGAGGATGATGATGAGGAGGAGGAGGAGGGGGAGGAGGAGGTGGATGAGGTGGAGGTGGAGGTGGAGGAGGCGGAGGAGGAGGCGGAGGAGGAGGAGGAGGAGGAGGAGGAGGGGGAGGAGGAGGTGGATGAGGTGGAGGTGGAGGTGGAGGAGGCGGAGGAGGAGGAGGCGGAGGAGGAGGAGGAGGAGGCGGCTGCGCTGCGCGCGCTCGGCCGCGTGCTCGGCCGCCGACGAGCCCGCCGTGCTGCCCCCGAGGCCAGCGCCGCGGGATCATGGCGAGAGCAGCGAGATCCGCTGCGACCCTCGCTGCGGACCAGGGAAAGCCGTCCGCTCGAGCATCCGCTTGGCACGCCTGGGCGTCTCGCTCCGAGCTGTCTGTCGGGCGTGTCCCTCTGCAGGAGGGATATATCCCAAGACGGTATGGGGACGATTCTTGGTCTCTTTTTGATGCTACGCTTGATTGCTTGTGGGGCGATTGTGTCATCCTTTCCCCGCCAGCCGCCTGTAGGAGGACATGCCCGACCCAATCCGAGCTTCGCACCGCTCCCGCCTCGGCCCCGGGGGGGGGCTCCACCAGTGCCCTCCCTGGCGCCCCCGAGGGAGCGGGGGGCCCCCGCGGGGCGGGTCGCGTGCGCGCCTCCCCCCTGCAAGGCCAGGGGGGGTGCTCCCGGGCCGTGTGGTCACGTCGGGCATGCCCCTCTACTTAGGTGGCAAATGATGGGAGCTTTCTTTTTCACCCAATGGTGTCTTGCTTCCTGCTTCGTGATCATTTAGTGTGTATTAGTGTTGTTTAGTGTTGCGTAGCGTTGCTCGTGCACGCCGGTCGGTGCGCGCGCGCGGCATCGCAGTTGTGCGAGCAATCCCAAATTCCTAAGATCGGCCGCAACCTTTTTCAAATTTCCTTTCTTCCTGTTCCTCCCGCAGGCGAACTAAATTGCACTAAATTGTACTAAACGCAACTAAACTGCACTAAGTTGCAATAGTGTGGGGCGCATTAAACGCCACTAACTTGCACTACATTGCATTATATTGCACTAGGTTGCACTCAATTGCACTAAACGCAACGAAATTGCACTAGACGCCACTGAGTTACATTAAATTGCACTAGCGTTTCCCGCCGCGCCACACTAAACGCCACTAAATTGCGCTAAATTGCACTAGTGTGGGGCGCACCAAACGCTACTAACTTGTACTAAATTTCACTAAATTGCACTAAATTGCACTAGACGCCACTAAATTGCACTATGCGCCACTAAATTGCACTAGCTTGCGCTAAATTGCACTAGCGCCTCCCGCCGCGCCACACTAAACGCCACTAAATTGCGCTAGATTGCACTAGGGTGGGGCGCAGGCGACGCTAAGCTCGACAAACGAAGCTCCCATCAATGCCACCTAACTCTACTACAGTTATGATGTTCCAGCCTCCTTTCGCCTCGATCACCAGAAAGAACCTCGAGCACCAACAAGAAGGACCGAAACTCGAGGGTTTTCACGTGTCGGGCCCTGGGACACTCGTCCGACACTGTTTCGACACTTTTTCGACACTCTTTCGACACTTTTCCAGTTGCTCGAAATTATTTCTGGGATGTGTATAACTCTACAGGCGGAATGTCAAAATATTTGGTAAATAGCGGGGGCATGTTTGGGGTATTCTTAGTTTTCGTACAGAATCCGCCTGTAGGAGGACATGCCCGACCTAAGGTTCAGTCGGGCATGCCCCTCTACAGGAGGAATATCCAAGAACGGTAAGAACATAGTCTGGTGACGATTTTCCCTCTTTCATGGACGAGTTCATGATTACGTTACGCTTTTCTTCCACCATGCGGAGGACATGCCCGACCTCCTATTCTGGACGATTTTTTTGATTCTGCTCAACATCCGGAGGACATGTCCGACCTCACCGTATGGCAGCCTGCGGTCTGGTGCCCCCCACCGTTGTGCGCACCGTGCGAAAGAGGCAGGCGCCGCCACGCCATCGCGCCCGCTCGTCCGGAGCAGTGCTCCAGGGGGGCAGCCCAGGGGGGCAGCCCAGGGGGGGAGCCCAGGGGGGGAGCCCAGGGGGGGAGCCCAGGGGGTGAAATGAGACGGGGCGGGCCTCCTCAGGAGGCTCGGAAGCCCCTCGGCCTCCGGGGAGGCGTCCTCCCGGCCTTCCCCCGAGGGCACTGAGCGCACGCTCGCCGGAGGGCCGAGGAGGGGCGCCTCCGAGCAGCCCCGCCGCCCTCCGAGAGGACCTCCTCCCGCTCGCGTCGCTCCTCCCCCCCTCGCTCGCCGCCGAGCCCCTGCGCGCCAGGGCACATCGGCCCCTCTCCGGGCCCGCGCTCGGAGCCCGCCGCCACTCCTGGGCCCGCCACTCGGAGCCCGCGCTCGGAGCCCGCGCTCGGGCCCGCCGCTCGGAGCCCGCCGCCACTCCCTCGGGCCCTGTCGGCCCCGTCGGCCCCGCCTCGCCGCCGGGCCTCGCGGGCCCCGCCGCGGCGCCGCAGAGGCCGGCGAGGCGGCCGCGCGCGCGCGTTTTTTTTTGTTCTCTTTTTTTTTCCGGAGGCTCGAGGCCCCCGCGGCCGAGAGCGGGGCGCCCAGGGCACTGGCCGGGAGTGCGGCGCGGGCCGCCGGCGTGCGCAGAGGGGCCCTTTTCCCTGCCCCCCCCCCCCTCCTGGCTGCCTCGCATGCCTCTTCTTCCCGCCCCGCTCCGCCCTCCGCCCTCTGCCCTCCGCCCTCGCTCCTGGGTCCCTGCCCTCTCTCCCACTCCTCCCGCTCCTGCCTCCCCACCGACTTGCCCTGCTTGCCGCTCCCTCGCCTCTTGCTCCCTCACCCCTCCTCCCTCCCTTGTCCGTCCTCCTCTTCCTACTGTCCCCCTGCTTCTCGGCATACATCGTGTTCGACACCCAGATGATAGTCGGGGGCACGCACAAGTACCAGTTCTCGGTGGATGACTATGCCATGGCGGCCATCATGCTGTACATCGACATAATACAGCTGTTCGTCCACCTTCTGCGCATCTTCGGGAATCGTCGGTGAGCGGCCGTGAGTCCTCTGCGTTGGCCCTGCGCCTGAGTTGGTGTGCAAAGAGCACGGCGCGAAGCAGACGTAATAGTGCTCCTCTCGCACCCGTGCCATTTGAGATGGATACGCAAAACCGCCCGAGTTTGCATGTGGTATCTTCGCTACACCAGCCAATCCAGCCCGCCCTGTTGTGTCCCCTCGCCCTCCCCGCGAACGAGGGAGGAGGGGGAGGGGTTGCCAGGATTGGAAATGGTGGCCGTAGAGGCCGTCTCCCAGCTGGCTGCAGGCGAGGTGGGCCGGGGTAAATGGAGCATCCTGGCATGAAACCTCCGCCCCTCTTCGATGGTGTGTGTGTGTGCGTTTGTTGCCTTTGCTACAGGACAGGGTTTGCTCGTCAAGTCTCCGTGGCTCAATCGCCACCAGCTGCATCTGCAAATGCACCTGTACCATTCACCGCACTAGTGGTGTCTTACCAGGTGGCTTCCACGACAACCGTGTATGTAATTATGTGTGTATGCGTGTATATATGTACTAAGGCACGTATATGTGTATGAATGTATGTATGTCTGCATGCACGCATGTATTTATGCCTGTCTGTCTGTCTGTCTTTCTGTCTGTATGTATGTATGTATGTGGGTATGCTTGTATGTATGTATGTATGTATGTATGTATGTATGTACGTATGTATATATGTATGCATGCATGTATGTTTGTATGTTTGTATGTATGTATGTATGTATGTATGTATGTATGTATGTATGTGTGTGTATGCATGCATGCATGTATGCATGTATGTATGCATGTATGTATGTACGTACGTACGTATGCATGTATGTATGCGTGAATGTATGTGTGTGCATGTATGCATGCACGCATGCATGCATGTATGCACATATGCATATACGGTTACAGCGCCCTCTGAGATCTACCTTTCAAACATGAATGTACCTTTCTTTTTGTATACAAATGAAATAACAATCAACTCATTTAATCTATTTAATTATTTGATTAATTTAATTCAATTAATTCCTTTACTTTATTATTTAATTTATTTAATTCATTTAATTTATTTAATTTATTTAATTTTGATACACCTTCATCTGCCAAGGACGTGACAGAGGGAAGGGGTTCCCAGGGCCATTAAAAATTAAATAAATTAATTAAATTAAATAAATTAAATATTTCCTTGCGTTTTTTTGCATTTACAATAGGAAACCTATTGTGTAATAAAAACACAGGAAATCATTTAATTCATTTAATTTATTTAATTTATTTAATTTATTTAATTTATTTAACTTATTTAATTTTAGTACACCTCCATCTGCCGAGGAGGTGACAGGGGGAAGGGGTTACCAGGGCCATTAAAAATTAAATAAATTAAATAAATTAAATAATTAAATAAAATAAATAATACCTTGCGTTTTTTTTTTTTTTGCATTTACAATAGGAAACCTATTGTGTAGTAAAAAACACAGGAAATCATTTAATTTATTTAATTTATTTAATTTATTTTATTTATTTAATTTATTTAATTTTAATACACCTTGTTGATTTCCCAGGGTCGTGTGCCTCAGATCGATAGCGGATGGGCACGCCCGAAATGCAGCAGCAGGTGTGTCACGGAGTCTGCGCTTGAAGCCTTTGGCTCAAGGGTTCGAGTTTGAGAAAGATCATCGATCCAGAGAGGGATAATCGATCTTCATGGTAGCGTGAAGCTGGCCTCCTGGCGCGCTGCGGGCTGCGAGGGGAAGAAGGGCGTGATCGGCACGGCCCCGAGCACTCTCGCGAGCACGTCCACACCAGAGACGAGGAACGTGGAGTTCTAGCAGAAGGGAGCAGAGATGGAGCAGGTCATCCAGCAACTTCAGGCGCAGGTCCTGCAGCTGACTCAGCAGTTGCAGGCGGTCCAACAGGGCGCGGCCCAGCAGGGCGGCATGGCGGACGCGGTGGCCGCCATCAGGGAGCTCGCCAGGGCCCAGGCGGACAGATCTCGACCGACGCTGGTCGACACCAGGGGCCTAGGGAGGCCGAAGGTCTTCAGCAACAAGGAGGACGATTTCCAGAACTGGTCCCAGAAGGTGGAGTCGTTCTTCAGCGGGGTGTTCCCGGAGGCGGAGCGGCTTCTGGAGTGGAGCGCGGACCAAGGAGGAGAGGTCGAGCTGGACGCGGTCAGGGACGAGTTCGGGGAGCTCCAGGACGACCCTGAGCGCAGGGTCGAGCAGCTGGAGGCGATCACGCATCAGCTGTTCACGGCGCTGATCCAGCTGACGGAGGGTGAGTCGCTGAACATCGTGAAGAATTCTAAGAAGAACCCGTACGAGGCGTGGCGGCGGCTCCAGAAGAGGTTTGACCCAGCCACGGGAGGCCGCAAGAGGAACCTCCTTCGGACGATCCTGAATCCAGGGAGGTGCCGCATTGACGACCTGCAGGCGTCGATCGAGCGGTGGGAGAACTACGTCTCCAGGTATGAGAAGAAGGTGAACCACGCCATGGACGACGAGCTGAAGCTCGCAGGGTTCGAAGCGCTGGTGCCTGAGGAGCTGGAGAAGCACTTGATCATGAATGCGAACAGGCTGCAGACGTATGATCAGGCGAGGCTCGAGGTCGTCACATACGTGGAGGCCAAGACGGGGCTTCGCATCAGGGACAAGAAGCCGAGCGACAACATGAGCACTGACCCAGACGCGATGGACACCTCGGCGCTGAGCCTCAACTCGCTCAAGGGCGGCAAGAAAGGTCCGAAGGGAGGATGCTACAACTGCGGAGGCAACCACTTCGCGAAGGACTGCAAGAAGGGCAAGACTGGCCAGAGCAGGGACTCCAAAGGCAAAGGACGAGGAGGTTGGGGCGGAGGAGGCTCTAGCCCATCGTCCAAAGGAGGAGGCCAAGGAGGCGGAAAGGGTGACGGCAAAGCCCAAGGCAAGAGCAAGGGTAAGAAGGGCGACAAGGGCGGCAAGAGCAAGAGCACGCAGCACAGTCGCCCCCACGCCAGTGGTCTTGATGACGATCCTAAGGCAGGAGGAGAGGCGTGGCCGCCACCGCCGGCGCCTTGGCAGGAAGATCAAGGTTGGGACGAAGGAGGCTGGTCAGGAGAAGGTGTTTGGTCGATGGGAGCGTTGACCTTAGGCAGTCTCGAGGAGTGGAAGCCGGAGGTGCCGAAGGACATCGGCGCGATCGAGGACAGCAAGTACGAGTGGGTCAAGATGAACCTGGACTCGGGAGCTGGGGTGACCTCGTTCCCATTGGAGTTCGGGCCGGAGAGCACGGGCAACGGCAGCCTCTACAAGACGGCAAGCGGCGAGTGCATTCCAGACGGGGGCCCTTGGGAGTTCCTCGGCTATGACGAGAACGGCCGGTGGAGATCCTTGAAGGGCAGGCTCAGCGGCGTTCACAAGGTGCTGTGTTCTGCAGGCAAGATGGCGACGAATGGCAGGCAGAACTTCTACATGACGGCGGACGGCGGCTGGGTCATCCCGAAGGACTCGGACATAGGCCGCGAGATCGACAGGTCCATCGAGAGGTGCGTCAGCCGGTACGGCACGGACGAGTTGATCCCTCTGTACTTGGAGGACCAGGTGTACAATTTCTACATGCAGAGGGAGATCTCGGCGACCACCGTCGAGAGGAAGAAGGAGGTCGTCACGGGGGGCTCGAGTTCGGGAAACGGCTCGGGCAGGGCGCCAGAGCGCCCGTAAGTCCGTTCGAGGACGCCGTGATGGGAGACCCGGGCCCATCAGCGGCGGAGGCTGTACCGGGCGGCGGTGAGATTCCGCCAGAGGGTCTCGCCCAGGAGGAGACGGGCGAGGACGATCAAGGAGCTGAAGCACAGGGAGCTGAAGCACAAGAGGTGCCTCGTCGACGACACCCCCGGATGCCGTCGGCGAAGGAGGTTCAGGAACATGAGGATCAGGCTCACGCAGTTTTCCGAGCCTGGTGCAAGGCTTGTTGCGAAGGACGAGGATTGGGAGCACAACATCGGAGAGAGTTCGAGTTGGATCCGGAGTTCGGCGAGAACGTGGTACCGATTGTGGCCTTCGACTACGGCTTCATGACGCAAGAGGGCGCGGACACGTACCCGATCCTGGTGGTTCGGGAGACCAGGTTCAAGCATGCGGCGGCGACGTGCGTGGAGGCAAAGGGCGTGAACGCCTACGCGGTTGCGTTCATGGTGGGGCTGATTCGCGACTTGGGCTACCGTAGGCTGATCCTCAAGTGCGACAACGAGCCCGCCACCAAGGCGCTGCAGAAGAAGATTGAGGAGAGCGTCGTCGGAGTCGAGATCCTACCTCAAGGACCGCCCGAGGGAGACCATCGAGCGAACGGTCTGGTAGAGGCGGCGGTGAGGGAGGTCAAAAGGATGTGCCGAACGATACGTGTCGCTATGGAACTGAAGAGAGGAGAGAGAGTTGAGGACGACCACCCAATCCTGAGCTGGCTGCCCCGGTATGCGGCGCAGGCGATTAGCAAGATGAGGATCGGGACCGACGGCAAGACGGCGGAGATGCGAAGGACTGGTCGCCGGTGGCGCAAGCCGCTAGCACAGTTCGGTGAGAAGGTCTGGTTCCGACGCATCGGAGAGGATGGAGGCAGCAGCTATGCCAGCAGGATGACCCAGGGGAGGTTCGTTGGCCATCACGATCGGACTGGTGCGACGTTGTGCATGACTGGCAAAGGAGTGGTTCGCGGCAAGTCCTGGACGAGGCAGGCTCTAGAAGATGCTTGGGATAGAGCTGGCTGGGGCGATCTGTGTGGGACGCCCTGGGAGATGCTGGCCAAGGAGACCAAGCTGGAGAAGAAGGTGACAGCGGACAAGGACGGCAAGGGAGAGCCCCTGCCAAACCCACCAGGGGTGGAGAGGGCGCCGGAGGTGGCGCCAAGGAGGTTCTACGTCCTCACGGCAGACATCGAGGCTCATGGAGCGACGCCTCTCTGCCCGGGATGTGAGTCGATCGCCATACATGGCAAAGCGAAGAGGGCACACAGTGACGAGTGCCGAGAGAGGATCCGAGAGTTGCTGGAGAGGAGCCTGGAAGGGCGCGCGAGGATGGAAGCCTACAGGCAGCGGGTGGCAGCACACCCGGCAGGACCAGCAAGAGAGGCTGCAGCGGAACCAGCGGCGCCGCCGGCGCCGACAGGAGGAGGAGATGAACAGATGCGCGCTGATGAGGAAGGCGACGGACGCGTTGCCGGAGAAAGACAAGAAGCACGAGGAGTGCCAAGAGAGACGCTTCGAGTACCGCAAGAGGTGATTGAGGCCAAGAGGGCGGCAGGAGACCCACAAGGGGAGCGCCCAAGTACGAGAGCCAGATCGGCCACCCCGAGAGGGGTCAAGATCCCAGGTGAAGGAGGAGGAGAGCCTGCGACGAAGGAGCGGCGCAGGTCACCCAGCGTAGAGGTCAGAGGAGTGCGTTTGGTGGGAGGTTCCTCGAGCTCAGCGGGGCCGGCAGCACCTGTGGCGCCGGCGGCGGCTCCTGGGTCGGGGGCTGAGGCCAGTTCTGGCGCGGGCGCGGGACCAGCTGAGGGAGCCGTACCTAGAGTTTCTGGGGCTGGACATGTCGATGCGGATGTACCCATCACGGCCCTGGACTTGCTGGAGCCCATGAGGGGCCAGGACTCGAGGTACATGCAGGAGCTCCTGAACTGGTACAGGCACGATGAGATGGGGGACCTCGACCTCAGGGAGTTGGGCGAGCTGAAGGAGGAGCTCGCGGCGTTGAAGGCGCTGGACTTCACCGAGAAGGGCACAGAGGACGAGGAAGCTGATCTGGGAGCAGTGGACGTGATGGAGATCTTCTCGCCCCCGAGGTTCACGGAGGCGGCGAGGAGGCATGGGCTCAGGCCTGGCGTGGCAGTGGATCTCTCTACGTGCCGACCGAGTGACGGAGTCGGCTGGGATCTGCTGAGGAAGGATGACCAGGAAGAGCTCAACAGGATCATCGAGAAGGATGAACCCTGGCTGCTCACGGGGAGCCCGAGGTGCGACCCGTTCAGCCAGCTGCAGTACCTGAATAGGCTGACCACGGACGAGAAGGTCCGGGAGCGGAGGCTTCGAGATGGACGTGAAGGGCTGCGGGTCGCGATCGAGGCGTACAACAAGCAGTACGATGCCGGAAGGTACTTCCTGCATGAACACCCGGCCACAGCTACTTCATGGAAGGAGCAAGGCATGGAGGAGTTGATGTCCCGAGAGGGCGTCTACTACGCGCAGGGCCCGATGTGTCGGTACGGGCTTCAGCTGCCGGAGAAGTACCGGGACGAGAGTGACGGCGTCCCGGAGTACGTGAGGAAGGAGACGGGCTTCATCACGAACAGCGAGGAGATCTGGCATGAGCTGAATGGCAAGTGCTCCAACCTGGTTGGAGGAGAGCTTCACCGGCACACCGAGCTCAAGGGCGGAGTGGCTCACTTCGCGGCGAAGTACCCTCCGAAGTTCGTCAGTGCGGTGCTGAGGGCGCTGCGAAGGCAGCTGAGGAAGGATGGAGAGCTCAATGCAGTTGACGAGATCGCGGGACCGGTTCCCGAGATCCCGATCGAGTACAAGGAGATGCTCGAGAAAGGCGGAGGCTTCTGGGATGATGTCAACGGCGGTTTCCTTCCGACCGAGAAGGTCTTGGCGGCGCGCCAGGAGGAGATGGACTGGATCCACGGCGAGAAGGTCTACGACATCGTTCCGGAACAAGAGGCTCAAGAAGCAGGAGTACGACCACTGGATGTTCTATGGGTCGACACGGACAAGTCCATGGACCCGAACGAGCAGAAGGTGAGATCCAGGCTGTGCGTGCGCGAGTACAAGACGAAGAAGGATGGCAAGGTCCAGAGGGCTCTACCGGCGGCGCAGCTGTTCTCGGCGATGCCGCCGCTGGAGGCCGTGAAGATCTTGATGTCCAAGATGATGACGGGAGGCGTGTCCAAGTCAGGCAAGCGCCTGAAGTTGAGGCACTATGACATCTCCAGGGCGCACTTCATGGGCAAGGCTCAGCGGCTGGTGTACATCAGGCTCCCAGCCGAAGATCGCCAGCGCTACGGAGAGAAGATGCTCGGCCGCCTGGTGAAGTCGATGTACGGCACCCAGGACGCCTCACATCTTTGGCAGCTGGACTACGTGGAGCTGTGTTGCTCGAGTGAAGGCGGCTTCAAGAGGGGCAAGCATAACGCGGCGCTGTTCTTCAACCCGACGGCGGACATCAGCATGGCTGTCCATGGGGACGACTTCGTCGTGCTCTCGGACGACGACGGGCTGAACCACGTCGACAGGCTGCTGGCGTCGAAGTACCCGAGCAAGCTGATGGGCACCGTGGGCTTCGACGACGGCGACAACGACAGCTTGCAGCTGCTGAACAGGATCGTGAGGAGAGGCCGAGATGCTAGAGGAGAATACCTCGAGATCGAGCCCGACCCGAGGCATGCGAAGATGATCCTGGCGGAGACGGGCTGCGCGGAATCCACGAAGGCCGTCAACACGCCCAGGGAGAAGATCAAGGACGCGACGGTCCTCGAAGGCATCAAGGGCAAGAAGCTGGTCGCGAGCGAGGTCACTCGCTACAGGTCGGTGTGCATGAGGCTCAGCTACCTGGCGCAGGACCGGCTGGACCTGGTGGAGAGCGCGAAGAGTGCGGCTCAGCGGATGGCTGGTCCGACGGAGTTCGACTGGCAGCCGCTTAAGAGGGTCGCTCGCTACTTAGCAGGTCGACCGAGGGCTTCGATCCGGTATCGGATGCAGGCGCCGGTGGACAAGATCGAGGTGTACGTGGACAGCGACTTCGCGGGGGACCCCATCAGCCGGAAGTCGACGACGGGCTTGGTGGCCATGGTGGGGTCGCACCCCATCAAGGGCAGCAGTACCCTGCAGAGCCTCACTTCTCTCAGCGTGGGTGAGGCGGAGTTCTACGCAGTGGTCAAGGGGGCTGCAGTGGCGCTGATGCTGAGGTCCATCTACGAGGACTTCGGCGACAACATGGAGGCTCGGGTGCTGAGCGACAGCACCACCGCCGGGAGCCTGGCCGACCGTCTGGGTGTTGGGCAGAGGACCAAGCACATCCAGACGAGGTTCCTGTGGGTCCAGGAGCGGGTGCAGGACAAGGACCTGAAGGTGGTGAAGGTTCACACGTCCAGGAACCTGGCCGACCTGGCGACGAAGCCAGTGAGCGGAGTTCTTCTGGATAAGCACTGCGGAGCGGCAGGCCTTATCTTCTCATCGAGATGACCGGGATCGCCACGCTCCACTACCAGAAGTGGATGGGTTCTGGTCGCTCGAGGATTCGGTTGCAGCTGGAGTTGTGACCTGGCTGCTAGCTCATGAGTCTTGTGCGAGAATTTGGTTGGCAAGGCAACGTTCTTGCCGTGCTGGACTGTTTTGCATCCCGCCTGGCGGGGCCTGGAAAAGACCGGGCACGACAGGTGGCTCGACCGGCTCTCGGATCAACCCGAGCTCCGGCCGAGAGGAGGAGTGTTGATTTCCCAGGGTCGTGTGCCTCAGATCGATAGCGGATGGGCACGCCCGAAATGCAGCAGCAGGTGTGTCACGGAGTCTGCGCTTGAAGCCTTTGGCTCAAGGGTTCGAGTTTGAGAAAGATCATCGATCCAGAGAGGGATAATCGATCTTCACACCTCCATCTGCCGAGGAGGTGACAGGGGGAAGGGGTTACCAGGGCCATTAAAAATTAAATAAATTAAATAAATTAAACAAATTAAATAAATTAAATAATTCCTTGCGTTTTTTGCATTTACAATAGGAAACCTATTGTGTAATTTAAAACACAAGGAATCATTTAATTGATTTAATTTATTTAATTTATTTAATTTATTTAATTCCAATACACCTCCATCTACCGAGGAGGTGATAGGGGAAAGGGGTTATCAGGGCGATTAAACATTAAATAAATTAAATAAATTAAATAAATTAAATAGATTGAATAAATTAAATAAATTAAATAAATTAAACAAATTAAATAAATTAAAAAAATTAATTAAATAAATTAAATAATTCCTTGCGTTTCTGGCAGTCACACTAGGAAACCTATTGTGTACAATAAGAACCTATTTTGGAATAAACACGCAGGACATTAAAAGGAACATGCGATTGGAAGTGTCGGCGATGCAATGCCAAGAGAGATTTGGATGATTTTCCTGTGCACCACGCGCACCAGCTCGTCAGTATCCAAAGAACAACATACTGGAGAGAGCATGATTGAATAGCTATTTGACATGACATGTCCCATGGCTTTCCATTTGTCATCGTGTTCGTTCCAATACTTCCACTGGAACTCTCTACTACTAGTGCTAGTACCAGTACTGGTATTACCACTACTTCTACTACTACTACTACCACTGCTACTACCACTACTGCTGCTACTAGTATTAGTACGAGTACTAGTACTAGTACTCGTACTCGTACGCGTACTAGTACTACTACTACGACTAGTATTAGTACTATTACTAGTACTAGTATTACTAGTACTACTGCGACTACTACTACTAGTAGTACTAGGACTACTACTACTACTCCTACTGCTTCTACTACTACTACTGTACTAGTCTAGTTCTACTACTACACTACTACTACTACTACACACTACTACTAACTCTACCACTACCAGTACTACAACTAATGGCCGCTACTACTACTACTACTTAACTACGTACTATAACTACTACTATACTATACTAGTACTACAGTAAACTAGTACTAGTACTAGTAACTAAACTACTAACTACTGCCAGCACTATCACTACTACTGCTACTACTACCATTGCTACTCTTACTCCTACTACCACCACTACTACTACTACTACTACTACTACTACTACTACTTCTATTACTGCTACTACTACTACTACTTATATTACTTATACTACTACTACCAGTACTAGTATTAGTTCTAGTACTAGTACTAGTACTACTAATACTACCACTAGCATTACTATTGCTACTGCTACTACTGCCACTACTACTACTACTACTACTACTACTACTACTACTACTACTAGTACTAATACTAGTGCCAGTACTAGTACGACTACCACTACTACTACTATACTTTACTACTAACTACCTATATAGACTAGTACATAGTCCTACTTACTACTGTAGACTTAGTATTAGTACGTCCAGCGACTTACTACTACTACTACTCCACTAATGTACTACTACCACTATTACTACCAGTGCTAGTACTAGTACTAGTACTAGTACTAGTGCTACTACTACTACCGCTACCACTACCGTTTCTACTACCACTACCACTGCTACCACTACTACTACTACTACTACTACTACTTCTACTACTACTACTACTACTTCTACTACTACTAGTAGTACTCGTACCCGTACTCGTACTAGTACTAGTGTTACTACTGCTACTACTACTACTACCACTACGACTACCACTGCCATTACTACTACTACTACTACTACTACTACCACGAGTACTACTGCTACTACTACTACTACTACTACTACTAGTACTAGTACTAGTACGAGTACTAATATTAGTACTAGTACTACTACTACTACTACTACTACTACTACTACTACTCCTAGTACTAGTGCCAGTACTAGTACAAATACTAGTACTGCGACTACTACTACTACTAGTACTAGTACGAGTGCTACTACTACTACGACTACCATTACCATTACTATTAGTACTACCACTACCACTACTACGGCTTCTACTACTACTACTACTACCACTACTACGACTACTACTACTACTACCACCACTACCATTACTACTACTACTGCTACTACCACCGCTACTACTACTACTACTAATACTACTGCTACTACTACTACTACTACTACTACTAGTACTAGTACTAGTACGAGTACTACTGCTACTATTACTACGACTAGTACTAGTACAAGCACTAGTACTAGTACTAGTACTAGTACTAGTACTAGTACTACTACTACCACTACTACTACTACTACAACTACCACTACAATTACTACGATTACTACTACTACTACTACTACTACTACTATTGCTACTACCCTACTACTATTACTATTACTACTACTAGTTCTACTACCAGTACTAGTACTAGCACTAGTACTAGTACTAGTACTACTACTACTACTACTACTACTACTACTACTACTACCACTACCATTACTACGACTACTACTATCACTACTACTACTACCATTACTACTACTACGACCCACTACTACTTCTACCCAAGCAGCATCAATGAGAGTTCGTTGTTACTTTTTTCAAGTGAAACGTCCTCACGGGGAGACAGAAAGCTCTGGCGACGGCTCGGTGGGTGAGTGCTCTGGGGAGGCCTCCTCCCAGATAGCTTCCACCTCGGCGGAGTTATGGGCGCCCTTGGAACTAAATACTAATTCTCTGACGCCGTGCGACGAATTTCCGCGGCTGCTGTACGACGTGCGGGCCACTGGTGCAGCAACAGTGCGGGTGGTTGCTGACGCGTCTACTGACCACTGTATGTTTTGAAGCTGCTGCCTAAGAGACGGCTCAGGACGCTGGGTGGAAACGTGTTGCACTCGTCGATGACGGTGTTGTTCCCTGGCCTCCGCCACAGCCCGCCCGTCGAGCACTTCCATCCGAGCGGCGGCCTCTCTGATTTTTTTGTCGGCGTGCAGCTCACGTCGCCTCTTGAGCTTGGCCCTCCGCGCTTCAAGGACCTCCTCCAATGTCCTTTCGCGGCGTGGCCGTCCCTTTGGGGCCATGCCAAGGCGAACAATTCAATCGGCTGTTGTGTTATGTAGTGCAGACATGCAACGTAAGGCTTGGACCAAGGTCGACGGGATACGATATGTCCGGCTGCAACTACAATCTGAAGATAATCTTCCGCCGCATTCCACTCCACTTCATCTTTATCTCCCTCCTCCCTGCTCACCCTCCTCCTTCCTCCTCCTCCTCCTCCCCCGCTCCCCATATGCTAATTCCAAGCTTCCGCCAGCTTCCTGCAACTACAATCTGAAGATAATCTTCCGCCGCATTCCACTCCACTTCATCTTTATCTCCCTCCTTCCTGCTCGCTCTCATCCTTCCTCCTCCCCCTCCTCCTCCTCCTCCCCCCCCCCGCTCCCCATATGCTAATTCCGCGCTTCCGCCAGCTTCCTGCAACTACAATCTGAAGATAACCTTCTTCCGCATTCCACTCCACTTCATCTTTATTTCCCTCCTCTCTGCTCACCCTCCTCCTTCCTCCTCCTCCTCCTCCCCCGCCCCCCTATGCTAATTCCAAGCTTCCGCCAGCTTCCGCGAGCAACAGAATTGTCAGCCGAAGTTGAGCGCCACGCTTAAACACTCCAATCATACTATGACTTCCTCCTCCCTTCCTCCTTACTCCTCCTCCTCCCCCCCCCCCTCTTCCTCCTCCCTCCGACTCCGACTCATTCCCTCCTCGTCGCTCCCCTGATGCAAATTTGCAAGATGCCGCCAGCTTCCGCAAGCATCAGAATGCTTCCGCCAACTTCCGCCAGCTGCGGCGGAGTGCTTGGCGAAGATACCTTCAGAGAGTCGGAAGATCCAAAAACAAATGCCACCCCGAGCAGGGTCCTCGAAATTCCAGCCCCATGCCGCTGGGCACAGGGCTAGAGTTTCGAGAACCATGCTCGGGGGGGCATATTTTACACATGTGGATGTGTTTTCCTCCTCCTCCTCCCTCCTCCTCCTCCTCCCCCGCTCTCCTATGCTCATGGCAAGCTCCCGCCAGCTTCCGCAAGCATCAGAATGCTTCCGCCAGCTGCCGCCAGCTGCGGCGGAATGCTTGGCGAAGAAACCTTAAGAGAATCGGAAGATCCCCAAAAAATGCAGTCCGATCATGGTCCTCGAAATTCCAGCCCCATGCCGTTGGGCACAGGGCTAGAGTTTCGAGAACCATGCTCGGGGGGCATTTTTTTACACACGTGGATGTGTTTTCCTTCTCCTCCTTCCTCCTCCTCCTCCTCCACCGCTCCCCTATGCTAATTGCAAGCTTCCGCCAGCTTCCCTCGATGAACCTCCCGATTTCGGCCGAGTGCTCCGGGAGAGGGGGGGGGGATGGGGGGGGGGGGGGGCGGGGGGGGGGGCGGGAATGCGTAGATAGAAGGTGGCGAAGCGGGAAATGGAGAAGAGAAGAGCGAAAGGAATTGCACGCATCAGGCTTGTTTGGTACTGACAAAAGTGAGGGACGAAACGAACTAGATAATCAATAAGATAATATG